CTTATGTCTAGGTCTTTAATCCACTTCGAGTTGATTTTTGTGACTGGAGTGAGGCAATGATCTAGTTTCATTTTTTTGCATGTAGCTTCCCAGTTTTGGGGAATCTTTTTAATCTAGTTTAAAAAGATTCTCATTTCTCTACCTCCCACCTTGCTCCCCTTCTCTCTCACCTGGTATAGTAGATATTTAATAAGTATCTTTTAAATAACTTTATTGCCTATACAAGGTTTTAGAATACATGCCTTCATATTTTAGTCCTATACATAACAATCCCCAAAGTGCTTCAGCGCTAGTCACAAGATACAGTCTTGAATTAAATATGTATAGGGCAAATGTGAACACATCTGCAAGTGTTCTAGTCTGGCAAGGTGTTTTAAAAAGAAAGATGTTGTAATGAATCATATATTTGTAGTTAAATAAAATATTAGCTGTAGAGGCGGTAGATACATTTGGCAACAATTTTGGAGTTGGTACTGTTGTGCCGTAGTTTGGGAATTATCAGTCTTCTACCAGCACTGTTCATTTTAATTTACTGTGATTTTATGTGTTTTGTCTATGCTGTCCAGAATCATAGACAGTAGCAAAAGTGGCAGTTGAGCACATGTAATGTGGCTAGAGTGACATAGAAGCTAAAACTTTTTATTTGATTGTAGTTAAGTTTAAATAGTTGGATGTGTACTAGTAACAACATATGAGAAGCTAATTTATAGAGGAAAGACTGCCTATATTTCGACCTGCATAAGACAGAATAGCAGTAGATTTGAAATTGTATTCTTCGTCAATAAACAAAGAAATCCTATATTTCCAGGTGATATGTTAAATTTACTTTTGTGTTCTGAACTTATAAATTAAGTAGGATACTTGAGTATATGGTTGATCTTTTGGATATTAATAGAATTGTTAGCAAATAGACTATGTCAGGTGAAAACACTACGTATAAAAGTCTTTCATAACATTGAAACTTTAACTTATCAAAGTAGAGAACTATGGGTATACTGATGTAGGACTATTTTCTTGAAGTTTCCAGAGTGTGGATTCTTTGGCATGTATGACAAAATTCTCCTCTTTCGCCATGACATGAATTCAGAAAATATTTTGCAGCTGATTACCTCAGCAGATGAAATACATGAAGGGGACCTAGTAGAAGTTGTTCTTTCAGGTAAGAGCTGCTGTTTCTTTTTTTGTCCCAATGAGCCATTTTTGTACTAAGTACTATTATGTTCAATTATACTTAGTCTTTGTGTTACAGTTGCTTACTTTGATCTATAATAATGGTTACCATGTGATTTGTACTTTCAGAAAGGTTTATATCATAGATGAGAAAGTAGGAAAATAAGCTCTAAATTACTTATTTGAATGTTATTAAGCTAAGGGAATTTTCAGTTGAACTCAAAGACGAGTATGTGCTTTTTGAGTCAAAGAAATAAAACTATTACACTGAGATTTTGTTCTTTCCTCTTTTCTTTAAAGAGCATAAAAGAAGAAAATTAGGGTTGAGCAAAGAAAAATGAGAGGAAAATAAGAACTAATGAATATACAGAAGAAGAAACTGCAATGCTAGTTGTTCCCATGGCTTAAAAAATATTCCTGTTTGCAGTGGGGATTTACTTAGCTTTCTGCTTTCCTACTCTCATTCATTCTTGTTATTGGTCCCTAGCTCCTGATATTCACAGTCTTCTCTGCAAGCATATTGTCAGGATTGTTAATGAGTGTTAAGGTCTCATATGAGGCCTGAATATCTTGTTTAACAGGAAAGATGGGATAGAGGGAAGAGAAGAAAGGGAAAGGCCTGCTACTTTATTTTCTTTTTCTCAAATTCATCTTTCTAGGCTGTTACTGAGATCCTTTGACCCATCACCTCTCCTATAAACCCCTGATTCTTTTTGTTCTTTCAATCCCCACATTGATCATTCATCTTTTGCACTGCAACCCCAAACACCTACACTTCCCAAACCCTGTCTTCCATGCTCACCTCCATTCCATCTTTTGCTAAGGACCCTTCATCAGGCCACAGGGACATCCACTGGTGATTTGTAAGTGGAGGTGAGAGATGTCTGCTTATAGATGCATCTACTCTGCTCATAGAGGTCTAGAGAAATTTCTTTTTTTTCTTCACCATTAGGACTGTGGAGAAAGACAGAGTGTATTCTGGGATCCTGTTAGGACTCAGTATGTTTCCAATAGAAGCTTTGCCATAAATTGAGATTACATTGCATAGATTTATGGCTTTCTCTTGTTTTTTAACTTTTGTGTCTATTTTCTAGTATATTACGAGTTAAACAGTTTTCAGTTAGCCAAGATAGTCCTATTTGCAGTCTTATAACTAGAATATAATAACTTTTAGAGGTTGAAATACCTACTTACCTACAGACCTGCTTTTATCACTCACATTATTTGAAACTGATGAGCTTCCTAGAAATAGATATTAAAAACCTTATATTAAGTACTGAAAGTAATTTATGTGTATGATAAGATGAAACTTTACTAGGAAAAAAAAGACTGCACTCTGACATAAACAAACTTGATCAATGTTGTTAATCTCATTGCAATTATAAATACAATGTTTATTTGAATACTTTTCATTTTGTAAAAGCTTTGGCCACTGTAGAAGATTTCCAGATTCGTCCACATGCTCTTTATGTACATTCTTACAAAGCTCCTACTTTTTGTGATTATTGTGGTGAGATGCTCTGGGGATTGGTACGTCAGGGACTGAAATGTGAAGGTATGTGTTCTAAATTTTTGTGTCACTTGAAATAAAATTCACATTTGCATTTTCTAATCATCAGTGAAAGAACACAACTAGGGTTAGAGTTGTCGAGAACTAGACTCTGGTGTTCGTGATTTTTCTTAGGCAGCTTTACTGAATCTCTCTGAGAATTGTTTTCTGTCTATAAAATGTACTTTCCCCACCGTGTCTATAAAGAAAAATGGTTAAAGGAGGTAGTATGGATAAAATAGTTAGCACTGAGAAGTGACTTAATAAATATTAACTTCCTTACTATCTTTTTAAAATGTCTTTTTAAACAAGTTCTTCTTAACTAGAATTGCTAGGGAATAGGATGCAGGTGTATATTGTTAATTAACAAACAATCTAAGGTGGAGGGTCAGTAAACTTTTCTGTGAAGGGTAAGAGAATAAGTATTTTAAGTTATGTTCTCCACGTTTTCTGTGGCAGCTACTTATTGTATTGTGAAAGTAGACATAGATAAGATATAAATAAATGAATATGTTGTGTTCCAATAAAAGTATTTATGAATTTCATACAATCTTCACATGTCATGGGAGGTAAACGTGCACAGTTTGGTAAAGTACATTAAGTCATTAGTTCTCAAACTTTGCTATTTATCAAAATCACAGTGAGGATGTGGTAAAACATAATTAGCTTCAATCCATTCTCTGAATTTTCTGATTCAGAATGTCAAGAGTAAGACCCAATAATGTACGTTATTAGGTGATGTAATGACAATGATGCCTTGGCACAACACTTGAAGAAGCAACTGCTTTGCTTTAGTTAATTTAATCTTTCTAAATAGAATTTTCTACACATGTGCTGTTCTTCAATTTGTTAACTTCTGCTTAATCTGCTATTTGGGTTCTTAATCAAGGTCTCTGTTGCTGCCAGAGAAAATAAATAAGGCCTTTTTTGGTAACACACTTGAATAGTAAAGTTTTTTAATTGATTAATTTTTTATCCTTTAAAATATATTTAGGCTGTGGATTAAATTATCATAAACGATGTGCCTTCAAGATTCCAAATAACTGTAGTGGAGTAAGAAAGAGACGTCTATCAAATGTATCTCTGCCGGGACCTGGCCTCTCTGTTCCAAGACCCCTACAGACTGAATGTGTAACCCTTCCCACTGAAGAGGTATGTATTCAAAGGCAATAGAAGTACATTTTATTACTTCTTTCTTATGTTTCTACAGGACATAGGATGTTCTAGAACATAAGTTATGTATGAAAGAATAGTTCTGTTCTTTATTTTAGAATCTGAAAATGAACTAAAGGAGACAGGGCTTACCAGTAGTAATGAATTACTTTTTATATACTTTGGGATCATGTTATTACTGCATTAGTCTCTAGTCTGGTACCTTGACTCCTTGTCTGAAAACTTCTCTTCTTTTATACACTGTAGCTTCATCTTATTACGTTTCAGATTAACATATTCCTCTGATTATGACTGCACATCTGATTGTATGACTACACATAAGGAACCTTTATATGTTGTTTCCTATTCAGTATTCCCGGAACACACCATTATTCATCTTACCTTTACTCTTGCTGGAGACCACTTTACATGCTTTTTTCCAGATGTACCTCAACAGCAGCCTTTCCTGATTTTTCTCTGATGTAGAAGTTACTTTATTTTCTGAATGCCATAACACTTTTTAAACCTCCCTAAGATATATAGCATTCTATTTAATATCACAGTGTCAGTGTATTAGGTTGTCCTCAAGAAGGTTATCAGCTCTTTAGAGAATGCAGTGGTCTTTGTCCCACCATGCCTGTCTCAATACTTTATCCTTAGTAGGTGTTCAGTGATAAATGAATGAGTGAATGACCTAGTCATCCTTGCGATATTTCTGTGCGATAAATCAATAGATCTGTATATGGTGACACAGTTGAGACTGAGGACATGAAATGGTTGTGAAGTCACAGAGTAGATAAGTGAGCAATTAGAATTAAGTTCAGATCTCATTTTTAGACCAATGACTTTACTTAATATATTATACCCCTCAAGGGTAAAGGTAATGAGTAGATCAAGGAAGGAAGAAATAATGCCCTTATTCATTGGCAAGAACTAAAAATGATGTTCATTCATTGATTGCAGTCATACCACTTAGCTATTTTTGATAACCTCTTTTATAGATTAATGGCAAAATTAAGCTTTTAGACTATTATCTTAACAACACTAGTTACAAGATTTGCTAAATTGAAAAATGAGAATAAAAGCATCTGGAATTCTTCATGGAAATTTCATATTTTTTAGCCTAATACAAGATTTTTAAAGTAGAATAAGTGTGCTATAGTATAAGAAACAGAGCAAAGAAATAAAAATAAGCAAGATTGTTAATAGAAAAATTATTGCATTTTTATATAGGGAACTCTGCTGGAAAAGGGAACTGTCAGAGTTATGCTGATTTAAGAACCCCATGAATGATATTGGCATGCCAGTGACCCCCTGTCAAGTCTTACTAGACTAGGAAATAGCAGGACAAAACAAATGAATAGGATATTACATTTCAAGACATTAGTACATTTAATACATTAGTGTATTTTATTTTGAAGATGAAAACTCTTTAGGCAGTATAAGGAGTGGATTAATGTGTTTGAATTGATTAGGTTGTGCAGTATTATAGAAAATAATTGAGTAGAATGTCTCTCACAAATGCTACTCTTATAGTCCAAGTCTGCAGTGTTAAGAATGAAGGAGGTATAAAGGAGACGCAAGGGAAAAAATCAGAAAAATGGGAGGTAGCAATAAGGAGATGAGAGCAACCTCAGATATGAATCAAGTTTAGAGAACTAACTCCAAGTGACTGCACAGTAAGAGTCTCCTAGTTATGTGCCTGACTTCATGCTGCATGCGCCCTTATCTTTTGTTATGTAATCTTCAAAACAATTCAGGAAGATATAGAAATTATTCTAATTTTGTAAGGAAGCAATGGGGAAAAGTTTCTAAGGAACTAAGACTTTAAACATCACTGAATATTGAGATAAACTTGAAAAAGGGTCCAGTTGGGCATAGAAACCTTTGATTCTAATGCTGAGGTTGTCATCCTTTACATGTAAGAAGGCAGTGGCTGTTGCAGTATCTGAAGTCAATCTAAAGGGAATAAAGTAAAATGATGGTGGGGTAGAAGATAGTTGTCATTGAAGCTGGTTAAAAGGAGATCACCAAGATTAGAGAAGCCAGAATTGAGTAATGGTTACTTGGAGATGAAAAAGACAAATAACTTATACATTGGGGAATATTCCAGTGGGGCCAGTACATTGGGGAATATTCCAGTGGGGCCAGAACAGGCAAGAAATAGCCTAGAAGAACCGTTGTGTGTATTTGCAAGAGAATTAAGACTTTTCCCTTACTAAGTAATATTGCAAAGTCAATATACAATAAGCCCTGTCATTACTGATATTGCTGATCTTGGAAATTGAAAAGATACATAATGAGAGCGGAAGCTCAAATGTTTTGTTCAACATTGAAATTTCTCTCATTGACATTAAAATGACAACAGTGTTGAAAAAAATGTTATTGAGAAACTGCTGAATATAATTTAAGAATTGTCATTTCATTCTTTATAACTGAGAGCAATATTATAAGTTAGAAAGCTTTTTATCAGAGGTTAATTCATCAAATGCTATGAAGAAATAAAATTTCTAGCTGCACATTAACATATACTTACATATTACAATAAAATGTATATTAATAAGAAAGTAATTTGTAATGTATATTAATAAGAAAGTAACTTGTAAAAAGGGGACATTAAAACAAGAAAAGAACTTTCATTCCATAGTTATCTCAGTGGCCCCATTTTAACCAATACTCTAACCAATACATCCTCCTCCTTTCCAATTCTGATTAAGTATACTATTTTTCCTACATTCCCCACTCAGTAGAGTGGCAACCTCTGTTACTGATAAGATTGTGGTATATGCACAGGTGTGTTGAGATGTGGGTGGAGGAAAGTGTTCAGAATATGGTGTGCAATACCTAGATTTATGTCTTCATTTCAATATTAGCACTTGGTAATATTAATCCTTTGAGCCTGTTTTGTCATTTAACACAAGGATAATCATATAAATAACTGTTTGTACTGGACATGCAAACTTAGGCAGCTGCTACAACCACTGTCCCCTGAGTAGTTCTAACATACTTGCTGTGTACTATTTCTCTTCTACTTCAACTCCACCAAGACCTGACAAAAGACAGTCACTAACTGGCTTTTGGTTTATGAAAATCTCTATTATGAAAGATCTTCCTTCCAGGAGTATCATACAGTTCATTTGATGATGACTAGCTAAATCATTCTTATTCTGTGTTCGTGTCCTTTATACTGCGCTCCTCCATTCATTTGTCCTTTTCTTTTTCCTATTTTTTCAAAAAAAATTTTCCCCCCTCTTCCTCTACTTCTTCCTTACACTTGTCTCTTGATTTCTTCTGACCTCTTTTGCTTCTGTTAGCTGAACATACCAATGACTCCACTTCTCTGAGTTATACTCATTACTTACTAGTAACAGAAGATATGTGAAGAACCTCAGGAACTCAGTTCTGATAGCGAAAATTCAAGCAGTTAATAACAAAATCTTTGGTATATCCATATAGCGGTTTGGATTTTGAACTAGCCTATAACTTATTTCCTTTGTATAAAAAGTGTCATAGTTACAAAAATCTCTTATCCTTCATGTTACATAAAAGGCTTTAATAAACCTTTTAAACTTTCTCTTTTGCATATCTGGGGAGAGCCCAACTAACTAGAAAATGCTTAAAATATCAAGGAATTGGGCCCTCCATGGTGGTGTATGGGGTTAAAGCTCAGCACTAAGAAGCAATCTGTAGCCGTGGCAGCTGGAGTTCAATCCCCAGTCAGGGAGGTGACCCACATAGCACAGCAGACCTCTCCTGTTTCACTCGCTGCTCCCCTCAGCAGTTTTTTTGTCAGTCTACCTGTTCTGTTCCCCATTATCTCTCTGGTGAATCCTCCCATCGCACCTCAGGCCTATAACCCAGTTCCTATATGCAAAAATAAATGAAGCTTTTTTTAAAAAATCAAGGAATTTATAATTACTGGGGCTAATGTTGTTTTAGTTAGTTTTATGCCTGCCATTATTTATATCATCATTACTTAATGTTAGGTATTTACATAAATACTTTAGTATCTGTTAAAATAAATTTGAAAAACTAAGACATTTTGAAATATTTCAGACATCATGTTTAGTAATTCAATGTGAGCAGCAGTAACACTTTCTGAATATATTTATTTTTCCTATGATTAATTCCTTGTAAGGTTTTTTTTTTTTTAAAGATTTATTTATTTGTGCATACAGAGCTGGGGTACAGGCCAGAGGCTCAGAGGCGGTGAGAAGCTTCACCAGAGACAGAGTGGGGAGCAGAACAGGCAGTTCTACGAAGTACACTGCTGAGGGGAGCAGTGGGCGGGTCAGGAGAGGTCTGCCACGCCATGTGGTCACCTCGGGGGAGGCGGGAATCGAACTCATGCGGAAGTGGTTTTAGCTTCTCAGTCCTGTGCTTTAACCCGCTGCGCCACCAGGGAGGGCCCCTTGTAAGGTTTTTAAAGAGATTTGAACATCTGCTATAAATATCACTTTAAGAGTTTTTTTTGTTTTTTTTTTTTTGTAAAATGCCTTACGTGCCTGGCAGTAATTATCAGTGAATATGTATTTGTGAAGATAGGGAAATATCTTCAGTTATTTTTTTAGCATAAGTAATAGCAAAAAATTCTGCACTTTCTCATTCAAGGGCTGGTAAGTTAAGCTTCCAAAGGAAATTGCTGGCATCTACATTTTTGGATATTTGGTTTCAGTGTTTGAAATAAATGAGATTTGTGGTCAAGTCCTCTTAATATTTTGCTTTTAATATTGACTTACACTTATGGAAATTACTTCTATATTAGTCACATGTTCACCAGGAACCAAGTAAGAGAATTCCTTCTTGGAGTGGTCGCCCGATTTGGATGGAAAAGATGGTAATGTGCAGAGTAAAAGTTCCACATACATTTGCGGTTCACTCTTATGCCCGTCCCACAATATGTCAGTACTGCAAGCGGCTACTGAAAGGCCTTTTTCGCCAAGGAATGCAGTGTAAAGGTAAGACTAGATGTCTTCCTTAAATAAAATTCAGACCTGTTTTTATAGGCATAAAATATTCAAATTTAAGAAGCATTAGCCAAAGAGATCAGTTTGCTAGTTAACTTAAAAAAAAGAAAGAAAATATACAGTACGTGTTTTTATTTGCAACTACTGCTATTTTCTGCAGTATTTGTACTTTATGCTAAGAACTTAAGAACTATGCTAACAAAAACTAGACTACAAACAGAAAAACTGGAATTTGGAACTATGAGGTGTGGCTCTTTAACACTTGTCACTGTAGAGTGGTCAGTAAGCAGGTAAGCTAATACTTGAGCTTAATCTTTCTGATTCCAGAGCCAGACACTATCCAAATATAAAACAGTGCTTTCTTATTTTCACTAAATATTTACTCACACAAAGATATTACAAGAGTTTTTATAACTTGTGTAACTTAGAAAGCTATATGAAAACTCATTCCAAAGGTAGTATATAGTATAAGCCACTAAAATTATAATAGGGGACTCTCCCTGGTGGTGCAGCGGGTTAAAGCACAGCACAAGAAGCTGTCTGAAGCCACTGCAATATGAGTTCCACTCCTCGCCAGGGAGGTGACCCACATTGCGTTGCAGACGTCTCCTGTCTCACCCACTGCTCCCCTCAGCAGTATATTTCAGTAGGTCTGCCTGTTCTGCTCCCTTCTCTGTCTTTGGTGAATCCTCTTACCCCGTCTCCCTTCGCACCTCTGGCCTGTACCCCAGTTCTTATATGCATGAATAAATAAATCTTTTAAAAATTGTAATAGGAACTATCAGATTTATACACTCTCACAGTAGTCCAAAAGCATATTTTACTGAACCAGATTTATAATGGAATAATTCCCTCTCTAGTTGTAGGTTGTTTTTATGCTTTTAAAAATAGTTTATCCCCCACAGGGATGGGAGATGGGAAAAGGCACAAAATGTTGTAAAAATAAACTATTGTATTATTTTAAAAAATAATAATAAAAAATCAAAATTAGAGTGAAAATTGAAATGGAGTTTGTGTTTTTACTTACTGAGATAATATAAGGCTATAAAATAGTCTAACTTCACTAATTTGTACTGATTTTTTATGTAATTTATTTTAACTACACAACTATAGTAGAACCATACTTTTTATATAATAGAAATATTTGTGAATTGAATCTAAATTTTATCTAAAACTTTAGAGTTGATATCTTTGCTACAATAAATTCTGTTTGTAATACAGAATCAAATAATTGTATATAAATTTAACTATGAAAGAAAATAAAGCTTTTCATGGAAATCGATGGCAATATAAGATAGCATCAAATAGAGAGGTTGTAGAGGTGTTTAGAAACTATCAGGCAGATGTAATTATTAATATTTTATTTCAACAGCTTATATTTGATTATGAGTTAATGCAGACATTAATACTTTAAAATATCAACACAAAGGTATTGGCAAACATCCACTAAGTAATGTTTTAGAAAGAACATTAAAACATGTACAAATTCTAGTCAATTGATACTCTTAGTGATGATAGTAAATAGCACTTTTCTGCTGAATGAAATGGAAAAATTCTAAAATCATATGTAGGAAAAATACAGTATTTTGTAGAGGACCTAAATAAGTGAATTTTTAAATAAAAACAAGAAGTTACTAGTTTTAAGTTCTTAGAGTTTAAAGGTACTTTTCTGTGCTTAATGTTAGTTCAGAAAATAGCAGGTTATATTTCTATGTAGTTAAGTTACGTTCATCATCAGTCAGAATCATAATTTACTATAGTGATTTCTGTATTTTTATAATATGAATTAAGATATTCAAAAGATAAAATAGTCACCATTATTCATTTGTCAAACAAAGGAAATATTTTGTTTAAAATAAAACCGTTTTTGCTGGATCTTATGAAACAGTGTTCAGTTCCAAGAGCAGCTATTTATTAAACCTGTGTTTATTTATTATTTTGTTATATAAAAACTTCAAAACAGCTTGAAAGCATTTATGAAATATAAGAAAGCATAAACAAGTTAAGAAAAACAGTGTAGGAACACAGAAATAAAAAATGTCTGCCATTAGAACCTATATCATAGCTGCAGGTGGGCCATAAATTTGATTGCATTTATAAAGGGACAGTAGAAACCTTATTTTCATAATTTGCAAACCTCATGAAGTTAAAAAAAATTAATTATTTAAATTATATGTAAAATGCTATTATTAATAACATACATGGTTTTTCCTAGGTCCTTTCATGTAAAAATATAGTGTATAAAAATACATATATAGTTTATATATAATGCAAATTATATCATCCATAAAATTACTCTTATAGGACTTTTTCTTATAATGACCTTTACCTTATGCTATAGGCATGATAGCCAGAATTTCCTTGAATCAAAAGCGTTACAAAACATCCTAAGTCAAGGTTTGAAGTTATTTTACCCACTTATTACTGGCAGATATATTTCAAAGGTGACTTTAGACAGCAGTTAGAGCAATGTTTCTCAATTTTAGTGTCACCTGCAGAAGTCATTAAAACACATTTCTCAGCCCCACTCCCAGAGTTGGGAAGATGTAATAGGTCTAGGTTGGGGCCCCGAAATTTTTATTTCTAACAAATTTTTGAGGGATGTTGGTACAGCTGTCCTTGGGATCACTGTTTGAGAACTACTGAGTTATTTGCTACTGTTACACAGCTTACCTCTGATGTTGAGCTCCAGGCTTATCAACTCTAAGGCTCTTACAGGTAGAGGAGACCCATTATGTACAAGTGGGAGAACTTGTGCATACGCAGCTCATTCCATTCTCACAGGTTTGTATGGCAAAGCCCTTACTAATTCCTAACTCTGAAATCTCAGTATCTTTTCTACATGTGCACAGGCCCTTATATAGGGGTTAAAAGTAAATGCATAACATGTTGGAAAGGAATTCAACAGCCTGAGAAACTTACAGAGGATATGGAAAGATGAGTGTGGGGTGAGGGAAAGAAACATGAAGCCTCCAGTAATGTTTTGGCATAGTGTTATATAGGTAGCATTAGCTAGATAGATAAACTGAACCCTGATGTTTGAAACAACTATTAGAAGTGATGTGGGGATTTGAGATCAACCTTCAGTTTAAGACCTGAGTTCTTAGTAAAGACTTTATTCTGTTAACATCTTCATTATTACTAACAGTATTCTATTTATGAATGATTCAATGTGTCTAATCATATCCATATTGTCTGAATTTGTCCACAAATATATCAACTAAATATTTTGTTTTAGATTGTAAATTCAACTGCCATAAACGCTGTGCATCAAAAGTGCCAAGAGATTGTCTTGGAGAGGTTACTTTCAATGGAGGTAAAATTCATTTTCTTAATTTCCATAAAAGACCAGAAAAATTCACAGTTCTTTTTTATATCTATATAATGTCATATTTGCGTACTTTGCTTTTTCTTTGACCTTTCTTTTTCTGATTTAATAATCAAGGAAAATGCCTGCTTCAGTGATGTACACCCCTGCTGTGTGCCTCTGGGTTGCTCCTCCAGCCGTCTCTCACTGTGTCACCTGCTATTGCCAGTGGTGCTGCGTGTCCTCTTTTATCCTTAGACACGAAAGTCTTGTCTGTAGAACAGTTTCATAGTTCTAATATTTAATACTTACTTGCCAGGTACTTTTCTAAACACTTCACATATATTGACATTTAAACTTAAGAGTAATCCTTTAGTAAGTACTTACAGATGAGTAAACTCAGCACAAAGACATTAAAATCTTGTCTACATAGCCAGTAAGTAGTAGAGCTGGAATTTGAACCCATATGGTCCATAATAGTCACTAGAACACATTGTACCATCTCACTAGTCTCTCCAACAAATAATCATTAGTTAAATATCTTCCCACTTCTGCCGTTTTTATCTCTTGTCAAGATAATAGTAAACAGAATGATTACCTCTTTGTCAAGGAAGTTTTCTAAACTTTCAGCACAGCTTTTCTTTAGCATTTGTATAACTGGTAAAAATTAAATATTTCTGAGGGAAGTTAAGTATAAGGAATGCAAGTTATACTCTACTTAATATTTTCTCTCATGGTATGTTTTCAGTAGTTGGTGTTTAATACCATTGACAGACATGGTTGGCTTTATGTTTTTTCTTTCAATTATCTGAATTAATGAAGCTTTTCTTTTATGAAAAGCTAGGTTTAGAAGACTGTATTTTTACACTTTTCTAACTTTTGACAATTGAATACAAAATACTTGCATTTATTTAATGTGCATTTATCTGTTCTACTGAGTTTGAGCATTTCTCAAATGTTTATTGATCATTTAGGATTTTTTTCCCTGTAAATTATCCGTTTGAATGTTCTGTCCATTTTTGTATTTGTTTATTACTGGTTTGCAGTTGTCAATAATTCTACTTATTAATCTTATTAATAATAATATGTAATACAAATAATATAAATGGAATGATACAATATATAGTTTTTGCTAGTTTTCTTTCACTTTATGTTTTCAGGGTTCATCCATATTGATCCATATTATACTATATATCACTACTTTACTGTTTTTTAATTGATGAATAGTATTCCTCTGCATGAATATACCACATTTTATTTATTCATTTACTAGTCAGTAGATATTTGAACTGTTTGGCTTTGGAGCTGTGCTGCCAATGAATATCTGAATACAGTTTCTATGAACATAAGTTTTTTTTTTTAAAAAAATACTAAACGTTTATTATTTTACTTAGTTTGTAAGAGTGAGGTTCTGGTGTTGAGTAACTACATGGCACTTACTGGGACTCTGGTGAGGTTGTAGTAAAGCTACGAATTGAGGCTGCCATGATCGGAAAGCTTGACTGAGTTTTCAGGATTGACTTAATTTCATCATGGGTAGATATCTAATAATGGAATTTTTCAGTCAATAACATTTTGAGGACCTGCCAAACTTTTATATAGCAGCTATAATGTTTTTATATTTCCATCAGCAATGCATGAAAATACTAATTCCTTTGTATACCTGCCACTTGTTATTGTCTGTTATTTTTGATTATTCCCATCCTACTCAGAATGAAATGAAAATGGTAAAATGTTTGTATACATTTTTTAATGTACTTATTGACCATTTTTCATTTGCTTTAGAGAAATAGCTATTCTAGTCTTTTGCCCATCCAGCTAGTTATGTCTTTTTAATTCTTGAGTTGCAAGAATTCTATAAATAGTTTGACTGCAAGTCCCTAATTTGATTTGATAGGTACTTTCTCCTATTCTGTGGGAGATATTCCTGAGATATCATTTGTAGCACAGAAATTTCTAACTGTGGTGAAGTTTGATTTCTCTTTTGCTTCTTGTATATAACAAGAGGTCACAAAGAGGTGCTTCTGTATTTTCTTCTGAGAGTATTATATATTTAACCCTTATGTTAGGTCTGTAATCCACTTTACGTTAATTTTGTACTTTAAGAAAGAGGTCTAGTTTCTTTTTTTGCATCTAGATAGCCAACAGTAGTACCATTTATTTGAAAAACTGTTCTTTCCCACTAAATTTTCTTAGGACCTTAGTGAAAAAAATCAGTTGACGATAGGTATAATAGTAGTGGATAATCTTTTACTTTTCTTATAGTTATCTTTTGTCATAGAGAAATTTAAAATTCCTGTATATCAAATTTTTTAATTTTCTGCCTTATAGTTTGTGCATTTAATATCTTCCTTAAAAATTCTTCTTTATTTTTTATATTTCTATTGAAGAATTTTAAAGTTTTTCACATTTACTAAACTCTCTCCAGCTAGATGTATTGATATTAAATAATATTAAACTCTAATATTTAATGCTAAAATTTAAACTTTGCCAGAACCTTCCAGTCTGGGAACGGATACAGATATACCAATGGATATTGACAGTAGTGACATGAACAGTGATGGTAGTCGGGGCTTGGATGACACAGAAGAAACATCTCCCCCGGAAGATAAAATGTTCTTCCTGGATCCATCTGATCTTGATGTAGAAAAAGATGAAGAAACTGTTAAAACAATCAGGTAATGCTGGTATTGCAAATTACTTCCAAATATAACATTAGTTCAGGAGAATCATGAAAAAAGAAAAGCCGACACCTCTAAGTGTAACCTAAAGTGTTAATCATAAGCAGATTATGTCGTGACTCTTTTACATGCACCACAGTATTTAGTATTACTGAAATAAATTATATCATTGTCATCTACCCAGGATAAAAGGGTCTGAGAATCCTTGTTTTCTTAAAAAGAAAATTGTAGATAAAATATATAGCTGTAGAGTAGCTACCACAAGGGGCCAGAGTTGAGCCATCAGTTCTGTTAAAGCAGCCTGTTTCATCATGTAGGCAGATTACTTGATGGTAGAAACTTCAAAAAAGAATATATTCTTGAGAATGTTACACAAATCTTTGTGGTGACAAATTTGTGGACACCTTTTATATTACTGTAGCTAATCTGCTAGAATTTTGTACAAATGCTATTAGGTTATAACAGTTTTAAATGTCACTTTATTCATAGAAATTTAGGTTTTCATACATATTCAGCCCTATAGGATGCACTTCTTCAGTAAAATGTCAGTATTTTGGCAGGCTTTGTTTTTTGTTGGCAATGAAGAGGTATTTAGAGGAAATAGGTGATTTATTAATCTAATTACTGAATTGTCATCAAATTATAGCTTATTGTTAAATCAATGAAAACTTAATATTTATCCAAGTTGGAGACTAAGAAAGCCTAAGTAGTTTCTTAGGCATAGATACTTCATGTTTCAGAATAGGTGTTCAGATTGAAAACAGTATACTCCCCTAAATTACTCTTTCTCCAGCTACTCTTTTTACTAACCCATACTTCAATATTACCTGATTTGACTCATTCTATTATTTTTTAATTTTCTCAATATCTGTAAATCAGTTTCTTTTTAAATATTTTCTGTTAGCAGGGCTTCTTGCTAACTAGGAGAACAATGAAATTTTACATTTGAATCATGTGGACTTAGATATAGTTATGCTTTCTTTTTGCTTTGTAGCAAATTTACTAATTTATCATGCTACCTACTGCAGGATGGCTGCATTATCAATCCTAGGTGAGACCGTTTCCTAGGCTCTCAATCTTTCAGCTTGGGAGGACACTTTCTGCTCTGTTCATTTCCTTATGTGGCCCACCAGAAAGTACTCATAACAAATAATGAGGATTTGCTGTGTTATCTTAGTATTTTATAAGCAACAATATAAACTCTTAACGGGATTAATTTTTTTTTAAAGAATTTATTTATTTTGCATAGAGGAACCATGGTATAGGCCAGACATGTGGGAGTGAGAGGATTTATCAGATAGAGTAGGGAGTAAAACACACAGATACACTGCTAAGGGGAACAATGGGTAACATAGGTGAGGTCTCCCGTTCCACATGTGTTATTAGCTCCCTGGCTAGGGATCAGACTCAGGTCATGGAGGTGATGGTGCTGCAGTTTAAGCCGTAGGCCACCAGGGAGGCCCTAACTTATTTTTCTTAAGTTATTGCTTATTTTCCTAAGATATTTTAGAAAATTTTAGCCCCATTATCTTTAAAAAGGCATAGTGAGCTTATTGTATCTTTTTGTATTATTAATATTTATTATGATTTAAAAATTTTTTAGTCCATCAACAAGCAATAATATTCCGCTAATGAGGGTTGTACAATCCATCAAGCACACAAAGAGGAAGAGCAGCACCATGGTGAAGGAAGGGTGGATGGTCCATTACACCAGCAGGGACACCCTGGTGAGTAATCACAGATGCTTTAAAGTGGTTGTGGTTTGGTATGGGCTTTGTTTTGTGCATTTTTAAAAATCAGAATGAGAATGAGAAATTTAAGACATTCTGTATACTATGGCAATATGTAAAAGTACATTGGACTTAAGTCACAATAATGAAGAATTTTTTTTTTTTTAAAGATTTATTTATTTGTGCATACAGAACTGGAGTACAGGCCAGAGGCTCAGGGTCGGTGAGAGGCTTCACCAGAGATAGAGTGGGGAACAGAACAGGCTGATGGACGAAGTACACTGCTGAGGGGAGCAGCGGGCGGGTCAGGAGAGGTCTGCCACACCATGTGGTCACCTCCGGGGCAGGCGGGAATCGAACTCATGCGGAAGCAGCTTTAGATTCTCAGTGCTGTGCTTTAACCCGCTGCGCCACCAGGGAGGGCCAATGAAGAATTTTTTTAAAGAATATTTAATGTATAGTAGTCCCTCTTGTGGTTTCACTGCAACCACAGGAGGTGCCCATGGTCAGCTGTACTTCAAAATACTACATAAGGGACTATCTATGTGTAAGCACAGAGAATACATGGGACACCCTGTACCTTCCCCTTAATTTTACTGTGAATTTAAAACTGCTCTAAAGCATTAAAATCTTAATTAAAAAAAAAAAATTTAAACAGGACATTATTATGGGGAAATATTTTCAATTCATAAACAAGGATAAATTTAAGAATAATGGTAAGTGTGCCCAGTCCACACTTAGCATAAGACCACACATACCCACACAAAAAAGATCACAACACACTAATAAAAATGGGCAAAGAGGCCCTTCCTGGTGGCGCAGTGGGTTAAAGCACTGCACTAAAAAGCTAAAGCCACTTCCACATGAGTTCGATCCCCGCCTGCCCTGGAGGTGACCACATGGTGTGGCAGACCTCTCCTGACCCGCCCGCTGCTCCCCTCAGCAGTGTACTTCGTCGATCTGCCTGTACTGCTCCCCACTCTGTCTCTGGTGAAGCCTCTCACTGCCCCTGAGCCTCTGGCCTGTACCCCAGTTCTGTATGTACAAATAAATAAATCTAAAAATAAAAATAAAAAAATAAAATAAAATAAAAATGGGCAAAGAATATGAACAGACTTCATGGACAAGAAAATACAAATGACTGTTAAACATAAAAGCTTGATTTCATATTTAATATAATATAAAATTTATTTGAAAATACCAACATATTTTTCAGTGTAGTAAAACCCAAAAAGTTTATTACTGTTCTGTACAAATGAAAGTGTGAGTAAACAAATATTCTCATGTTTTCTCATAAATTAAGACAAATCTTGTATAAGCTCTCCACGATCTAGAGTAATTGACACTGTCAAGCAGTTACAGGTGAGCATATCGTTTGAACTGCAAACCAACTTTTAGAATTGTTAACCCATCGCTATTATGTGTGTATTTGTTTAATACCCCTGTATTTGTATGTACATGAATTAAAAATATATCTGATATTAGGTTGTCAGAAAGTCATCACATTTTTTCTATGCAAAAATGTGTCATGATTTTTCTGAAACCCAAAAACGTAATGACATCGCCTCAAAAGAGAGTGAAAGTGGGATAACAGTGGTGAGGAGTAAACTTTTGCTGTTTTCCTTTATATTTTGAGAACTTGAACTTCATGAATTTTAATTGAAAAGAACAAATTAATGAATAGAAATAAAAGGAAAGGTAAAGTAACAAGTACTTTGAAGGAATTATATTTCAACCTCAGTTTTGTTCTTTGTTTTATAGAGAAAGAGGCATTATTGGAGACTTGATAGCAAATGTCTAACATTGTTTCAAAATGAATCTGGATCAAAGTATTATAAGGTAAATATTTCACATTTTTAAAAATAACTAGGTTTTCAAAGTGTGTGTGTGTATTGTTACATTGAAATACATGTATTACACAGCTCTGCCTGCTATTGTTTATAGAAGTTACTGAGGCTGTTGTTTATGGCTTTTATTACCCATAAGACTTGACTGTTTTTGATATGCCTCATACTTGTGTTGTAATGATATTTATTAGAAATGCGTATCTTCAACAATTTAGTTTATTTGAAATTAAAAACAAAGGCATATTCATATTCTCCAATGCTTTTCACTTCAGGAAATTCCACTTTCAGAAATTCTTCGCATATCTTCAGCACAAGATTTCACAAACATTTCTCAAGGCAGCAACCCACACTGTTTTGAAATCATCACTGATACTATGGTATACTTTGCTGGTGAGAACAATGGGGACAGCTCTCACAATCCTGTTCTTGCTGCCACTGGAGTTGGACTTGATGTAGCACAAAGCTGGGAAAAAGCAATTCGCCAAGCTCTTATGCCTGTTACCCCTCAAGCAAGTGTTTGCACTTCTCCTGGGCAGGGGAAAGATCACAGTAAGCAACAAGCTTCTTTTTCCCTTTTGGTTCTGAAGCGTTTTGTGAACGTGGTTGAATTTCTCTACATACTGAAATGTTCTTTGTAAGCTTTATTTTTAGTAAATAATGCTTTAATTATTTTATAAAATTATATTGCTGTTAGTGTGTGTGCACAATTCTCAGAACCAACCCCAGAGACAGTCTCTCTAGATTTGAATCCTGACTCTCTCGACCTGCTATGTGCTATTAGGCAGGTATTTATCTCTCAGTACTTCCTTTTAGTACCTTTTTGATGGGATTGTCAGAATAATGTTTGAAATCCACGAACTCTCATTTGATTAAGTAAACTAGTAAACTATTAACATTACTGTTTTGCTTTATGGAGGGTTATAATCAGTTTCTAAAAGTCTTAAATTTTTCCTCATACTTGTGAAATCTGTGAAATCAAAAATGCCATTATTTCTTCAACTAAATTAAAATATTTGGAAATATAAGTTATTGAAACTTAAGGTATTTGTACCAAAAAATGTATACAACATAAATTTCATAAAGATTCAAGTGAACACTTAATTAGAAAGCATAGTATAATGTCACTTTCCCCCACTGACATTATTTCTAGGGAAATACCATTCATTAGCAAATATATTTGAATTATAATAGGTAACTTCCAATTTCAAAGTATTGTTTATTTCACTTCAGCCTTAGTACTTTGCAGAGCTATTCTTGGAACTTTCATATACATAAGTAATTATTAGGTGAAAGCACATAGCATGTAAGAGTACAAAAGTGAATAATGCTCTTCAGAGGATTCATATATAACGAGAAGGACAATGCAGAGATTTAGAGGTAGAACCTGATTTAGACCTTGACACTCAGGTAGGCTTGAATGGAGACAACAAAATGGGAGAATGGAGGAAATATTAATTGTTATTACTTGGGTGAGGAAACAGGTTGATTAGAGAGACATGGAATGACCATGAACATGTTTGGTGTTTAATACTGATTCTTCAGTTAGGAAAGTAGACACATTGATTCTGTTGATATTTTTTGTTTGTTTCATTAAAATGTTTAACATTTGAGGCCCTCCCTGGTGGCGCAGCGGGTTAAAGCACAGCACTGAGAATCTAAAGCCACTTCCGCATGAGTTAGATTCCCGCCTGCTCCAGAGGTAACCACATGGTGTGGCAGACCTCTCCTGACCCGCCCGCTGCTCCCCTCAGCAGTGTACTTCGTCAGTCAGCCTGTTCAGTTCCCCGCTCTGTCTCTGGTGAAGCCTCTCACTGCCCCTGAGCCTCTGGCCTGTACCCCAGTTCTGTATGCACAAATAAATAAATCTTTAAAAAAAAAAAGTTTAACATTTGAGGGCATCCCTGATGGCTGAAGGGGTTGATTCTCAGCACTTTGAAGCTGTCTGTAGCCACTGAGGCATCAGTTTGATCTCCAGCCAGGAGCTGAGAGCTGACCCACATAGTGCAGCTGACCTCTTTTGTCTCACCCACTGCCCCCCTCAGTGTAGCTGCCTGTTCTGTCTGTCAGCCTGCCTGTTCTGCCCCCACTCTATCTCTGGTGAATCCTCTCAACAACCTCCTCCCCTTCTCTGGCCTGTATCACAGCTCTTTATTTATGGATAAATAAATAAAATAAATTTTTTAAAAACATGTTTAACATTTTGAGTTATTTAAAATAATTTAGGGCCTTCCCTGGTGGTGCAACGGGTTAGGACGCAGCACTGCAAGCTAGCCGCAGCCGCTTCAGTGCAGGTTCAATCCGTGGCCCCAGCGGTGATCCATTTGGTTAGGCAGACCTCTCCTGACCCGCCTGCTGCTGGGGTACAGGCCAGAGGTGCAGGGGGCGGTGAGAGCGTTCACCAGAGACAGTGTGGAGCAGAGCAGGCAGATCAACAAAGTACACTGCTGAGGGGAGCAGCAGGAGAGACAGGAGGGGTCTATTGCACCATGTGGGTCAGTCACCTCCATGGTCAGGAATTGAACTTGAACTAAAGCGGTTGCGGCTAGCTTCACAGTGCCATGCTTTAACCCGTTGTGCCACCAGGAAGGGCCCAATATTTTAAATGAATAATGTTACATTTCCTTGTAAAGGAAATCTGACATTATCTTTGCCAATATAGAAAAAAAATTCTTATTTCTTTGAGTTATTCCTGAGATTCTAGAGGTTTATTACCTAGTCTGTTTACTTCCTGTGTTTAATTTCTTTTATTTCTTCCTTTGTTTACCAAGGGAAAACAGATACTTAAATTTTATAAAATACATAATATAAGGGCCCTCCCTGGTGGCACAGCGGGTTAAAGCACTGCACTGAGAAACTAAAGCCACTTCCGCATGAGTTCGATCCCGCCTGCCCCGGAGGTGACCACATGGCGCGGCAGACCTCTCCTGACCCGCCCGCTGCTCCCCTCAGCAGTGTACTTCATCGATCTGCTTGTTCTGCTTCCCGCTCTGTCTCTGATGAATCCTCTCACCCTCCGCATCTCTGGCCTGTACCCCAGTTCTGTATGAATAAATAAATCTTTAAAAAATAAAAAATAAAAAAATACATAATATAAAATGAAAAAAATCCTCCTTGTAAACATATAGCACACACCCTTATTTCTAATTGTATATCTCCTTCCCTCAGAAAACCATTATTAATAATTTGGTGTATATTTCTTGTTTTGGGGAAGGTTTTGGGATGATGAATTTATATTATTATTATATATGACTGTTTGAATTTTTACAAAAATGTGGTCTTATTTTGTGTATTCATTGCAACTTGCTTTTTTACCCTCTATTTTTTTACTTATATATAGCACATGTATTTAATGTCAGTATATGAATTTACCTAATTTATAATTTTTATCATGGAAATAATACATATGTTTTTTACAATGTAAGTATAGGAGGTTGTAAAAGCTAAAGTCCTTGTCCCCCAGCTTTCCCTCTTTCATTTACCAGAAGTAGTCATGGTTTTTGGGGGGGGGTTTGTGTTTTTTTTTAAATTCAAATAATGCTATCCTGTAACTTGCCTTTTTTTTTTTTTAACTTTTTAAAATTTATTCGTAGAGAACTGGGGTATAGGCCAGAGATGCGGAGGGTGGGAGGATTCACCAGAGACAGAGTGGGGAGCAGAACAGGCAGATAGGTGAAGTACACTGCTGAGGGGAGCAGCGGGTGGGTCAGGAGATGTCTGCCATGCCATGTGGTCTCCTCCGGGGCAGGCAGGGATCGAACTCATGCGGAAGTGGATTAAGCCTCTTAGTGCTGTGCTTAACCCCGCTGCACCACCAGGGAAGGCCCGTAACTTGTCTTTTTTTAACTTAATAACATGTCATGGATAGCTTTCTGATTCAATATAACATATTCAGACATTTTTTCTTTTTATGGATGTATCATTTAATTAACCAAAGTAGATTAGTGTTGTATGTTTGAATAAATTTCTAATGTGCACAATTATATTAACTATAATAATATTTTTTCAAATTTAAATAGCATTGTCATTCATATTAAATAAATATTAATATTGTCGTATAACAATAGTTGTGCTCTTTCCTCATATATCATTTTTACATTTTACAGAAGATTTATCTACCAGTATCTCTGTATCTAATTGTCAGATTCAGGAGAATGTGGTAAGTAAAATTTATAGGTAATGCATACAAATTGGGTGATTAAAAATAAAGTGAGATGTGAAAATCTATTTAAAAATAGGTTCATAGCTCAAAATATTGAGCAATTTGCCTAAGATACTAAGCTAGACTTGTGACTGATAATATCTCTAAGGACATCTACTTTATGAAGGTAACTGAGGCAGATCTTTTAAATTATGAAAATAAAGTTAATTTTTTCATAAATGGTATTAGAATATTATAGTGTAACTTAAAGAGAATTTAAAGAGAAGAGAGAGATTATTGCAGTGGGAAACACTTCCTAAAGGAAGTGGAACTTCAGCTGTACCTAAAAGGGAAAGGAGCAAAACAAGACAGTTTCATTAGTGAGTTCAGCCAAACCTTTAAGAAAACTGACATCTATTCTCAAACTCTTCCCAAAAATTGAGAGAAGAGGAATGTTTCCAAATGCATTCATGAAGCCAACATTACTCTCATAGCAAAACCAGACAGATGCAAAAATTGTCAGCAAGATCATAGCAAACAAATTCAACAGTGCTTTAAAAGTATCATACATGATGATCAAGTAGAATTTATACCAAGTATACAACTACTCTTCAGTATACAAAACTGATTAGTATAATTCACCACATCAGCAAAAAGGGAAGTAGAAATCATATGATTAAATTATGTCAATAGATGCAGAGAAAGCTTTTGATAAGATTCAACATTCATTTATGATACAACCCCTCAAAAAATGGGAGTCGATGGATCATATCTCTATAAAATAGGCCATATGATAAGTTCACAGTCATATTTGTCTCTGGAAAATTGCAGGGAGCCAGGAACAAAGTGCAGTCAAAGTCTTTATTATATAACACCAATAATGCACTGTCTAGAATTTCTAGCTTTTATTTCTTTAAAGTGGAACCAAGGATACTCATGACACATTATATTTATAGTTTATGTAGTTATTTGAAGTATTTCATAATAACTAAACTATGCAGTCATTACAACACATTTTCATTACTACACATATATTTGATACCTTTAAGAGTTACTTATTGAGGGACTAGTCACAAAATTTGTTTTGCTGCTATAGATATCAATCAGTATATGTTTTTTTTTTTTTTTTTGAGGGATTGGAGGGTGTATAGGTTATTCTAGTGGTTAGTAAATTAATGGTATTAGGAAAGCTTCTCCTGTAATACTTATTTGACCGAATATGACATTCTCAATTGTTAATTTTTTTGTAGGTTTTTCTATTACTGCTACAAATTCCTCAAGTATGAGGCTGATTTGACAAATTAGTTAACTATCACAAAACCCTGTATACCATTAGAGCTCAATAAAGGTTGAGACTCATTTTAAAATTAGAAGAGACTTAAGAGAGATGTAGACCAGGAAAAAGGTTGAGGAGTGGATGTGAGGTACAGATGATTTCACAAGTCTCTTCTGTTAGTCTTTCAAAAGTAGCCTAATCACAATAAAATGAACCTTTGAACTTTTCTTTCAGATCAAAAGATTTGCAAAGTTCTTTAATGATGAACTAGGCAAAGCTTTGCACTTAATTTTTTTTTTTTAAGATTTATTTACTCTGGCCCTCCCTAGTGGTGCAGCGGGTTAAAGCACAGCACTAAGAAGCTTAAGCCACTTCCGCATGAGTTCGATTCCCGCCTGCCCCGGAGGTGACCACATGGCGCGGCAGACCTCTCCTGACCCGCCCGCTGCTCCCCTCAGCAGTGTACTTCATCGATCTGCCCCGTTCTGTCCCTGGTGAATCCTGTCACCCTTCACATCTCTGGCCTGTACCCCAGTTCTGTATGAACAAATAAATAAATCTTTAAAAAAAAAAAAGATTTATTTACTCATACAGAACTGGGGTACAGGCCAGAGATGCAGAGGATGAGAGGATTCACCAGGGACAGAGTGGGGAGCAGAACAGGCAGATTAACAAAGTACATTGCTGAGGGGAGCAACGGCAGGTCAGGAGAGGTCTGCCAGGCCATGTGGATCGCCTCTGGGGCAGGCGGGGATCCAACTCATGAGGAAGTGGCTTTAGCTTCTTAGTCTGTTCTTTAACCTGCTGCGCCACCAGGGAGGGCCTGCACTTAATTTTTTAAGTTAATTTGCTTTATATGTATAGCTAGTTAAATAAAATTTTGCTTATTCTAGGCATTTTGTCCCCCAGAGATGATCTTACAGAGTATGTTATACTTACACTTTAAGAACCATAGTATAAATGAGTGCCATTAGTGGCTATGTGGATGGCACTCAGATGGATAACGCTAAAAAGGAAGTCAGAGGAAAAAGATTAATAGCAGATGGTGTCACTAATATGAGGACTATAGGTAACAAATAGTCAGATAAAGACAAGCTAGAGAGCTAACTCTGGATAGCTGAGGGTAGACCTGAAACACAAAGTGGGTGGAGGAGGTGAAAGAACAGGAAGGGAGGGAGGCATAATGGTCTGTGGTAGTAAAATATGGGTGGAGGGTGCACTGTGGTGGTACCTCATGGGGGTACTTCGATATTTCCTCAGTTAAAAGAAAAAGTCATAGCATAAAAACTGGGCTTATCTTTCTAGTATACATAGAAAACTTACGCTTCATAGAATATTTTGTTAGGAAAATTAGTTTCTTAAAGACAAAAATGTATTTAAGTATTTGAAAAGACTAAGACATGTTAACATTGTTTTGTAGAGATAAACACTGCTTCCTTTTCCCTAAATAGGACATTAGTACTGTTTACCAGATCTTTGCAGATGAAGTGCTTGGTTCAGGCCAGTTTGGTATTGTTTATGGAGGTAAGCCTTTTGCTATTGTACATACTTAGGAAAATTATGAAATTTTAAAAAGCTGTTATGTCTTGAGAATTTTGATAAGTGGTCTTTTATCAAAGGCAGACGCACATCCTTTAGGCTAAGTTCTTTTTACTATTACTGGGTAGTCATTCCTTTATTTCAGCTGTAAACTTTGAAAATTATGAGAAAATTAGTTTCACAAATCTTTTTTCTTATTATATAGTTCCCATGTAAAGGTCTTTAGGTGCAAAAAATAAATGGTTTGAAGTTATATTGAGCTGTGTGGGTTTGTTTATTGAAGTACACTCCCTACTGGTTTCCAGCACAAATGGTACCATTTGTTGAGTATTGGTGATGAATATCAGGTGTGAAGACCTGAAATCCTAATCCAGCTCTCCGATTTAACAATTTGGCAAAGTCACTTTAATGGAGCTAATAAAATTATCCTGCATAACTCTCACAGTTGTTAATTTAATTAAACGTAAAAGATATGAAAATACTTCCTGAGCTATGATCCAAGATATAAAAGTAATGTTAAATCTTGTTATCCCTTTTTTCAATATAATAGTGTTAAAATGTTCTTGGTTGGCCTTTCTGCCTCCAAACTTGCTTAATAAGTCAAATAACTCTTTGTTGATTCACTGAACCTGGAATAAAATTAATTCTTAATAATTTGATTCTTTCTTAAAAATCTCTGATGGCAAGGTCAGGACAGTTAACTATCTCATATATATGTAGTAAGGTAGATAGTTTTTCAGCAAACAAGTTTATTCAGATTTCTCATCATTTAAACTAAATGAAACAGCCTCTATTCAATTATATGTGAGCTGAGCTGTCAATTCTTTCCTCTTTTCTGTATTTTTTAAATAGGAAAACATAGAAAGACTGGAAGGGATGTGGCTATTAAAGTAATTGATAAGATGAGATTCCCCACAAAACAGGAAAGTCAACTCCGTAATGAAGTGGCTATTTTACAGGTAAAAGTGAAGTTGTTTTGTATTGGTTTTTATTTTTCATAATATTATATAAATATAATGTGCAATTGTCCATTCATTGTGTAGCATTTTCGTAAATTTAAATTTATGAATCATGATGATGTAATAGTGATGTCAGAGCCCTATTTGGTTTTGGATGAGGTTCAAGATGAGAGCATTCTGACCTTACTCTTCTGTGAAGAAGAGGGTAAGATATTTATAAAAGCATAGTTAATCTTACATTCATTATGTTGGTTAATTTGCTTCACATTTGCTTCACATTTTTTTCATAGGAGTGATAATCAAAAGATTATGTTCTTTAAGCTACCTGTGGTTACCTCAAGGCTGTTGCCTATAAAATTACCGTTAAAATGGATGTTAATAGTACTCAGACACTCTATGAGGTGTTCCTGTATTGTTAGAAGTCCTTTCTCATATCTAATTTAGAACTTTCTCATTATCCAACTGAGGTGCAAAAATAAATATTAAGGACATTTTTCAAAGCTTGATTTCTCATAGATTTGATCACAGACTAAATATGAAGCTTTTTCCCACCATGTAACTAACTGGCTTGTAGTAACTAAATTTAGATGTTTTCAGACAATGCATGATGTGAAAAACTTTTTCATTGTATCCTCCTGGTCATTTTCATTGATACTGCCCAAATGAGAGTAGAATTGCCTACCCAAAAATACTATTTTCATCCTAAATTTGATACAATACTATATATTTAAAGATCAGCCTTGTTAATTTATGTATGAGTGATAATTCTTTTAGCACTATCTGAGTTAATGCAGTACTTTTTTGTTTTTTAAGGAGATTGTTTTCACATAGAAATTCTTAATTAGTTCCACAAGATTTAGTCATAGAAACATTTCACCTAGTTTCTTTCATATGAATTGAAAATAACTTAACTGTAGCTGTATACTTATTCACAGCATCTTTGGGTACCCCTCTCCCCATTTCAGCTGTATCATTTTTATTCCTCTTCTCTGCCCTGGGTTCTTCTTAGATGTCATCCTTTTCAAACAAATCTGAAGAGCTGCTTGAGACCCTGTAATTAATTGATCTTGGTTCTTTCTGTGGTCTACAGCTCCACTCATATTTATAGTTTCTCTTCCTCACAGCAACAACTTTATAAAGAAAGAAAAAGTAAAAACTAAGCACATTATTGATGACACAGCTTTGGCCATTCTGCTGAGAGGAAGGAAAAATTTGGAATCAGTAATTTACAAGTAACTTTACCATTACCCAAGAGTACCCAGCCTTCTGTTGAGTACTTGGTTAAAATAGGCTTTGTATTCAGTAAGTTTAATGGAAGTGAGCACACTTCTGTGCTGTTTTGCTTGCTCTTTCTGAGATCCACAACTGTGGAATCTTCTTTAGGTAACTTTTAGTGGCAAGGGGGTCATCTGATAGATTTAATCCAAGGAAAACACACTAAATGAATTGAAGAAGGGTATTTAAAAAGTTAGAGTATGACTTTCACTATACCAAATAACAGTTTCAGTATTGAGAAGGAAAACTGTAAATGGTGCAAGCTCTTAAACAGTCCATGACAGATGAAGTACTCAAAAATATTTAAGACCTAGAAGGCCTAAATAGCAAAAGTTAGATCTAACCACTTTATCCTTAACTATGCAATCCCAAAACAACACCTCATTAATTTAAAATGGCATGAATAGTGTTCTTCTGTCTTAATGCAGTAATGAAATAAATTACAAAATCAGAAAACAGCAGCTCCTACTATGTGAAAAAAAATTCAATGTATGATTTATTGAATAAAAGAACAAAAATTTCAGAGTACTTGAAGTAATCATTAAAATACTGTATATCGAGGCTCTCCCTGGTGGTGCAATGGGTTAAAGCAACACATTATGAAGCTCTCTGAAGCCACTGCAGCATGAATTCGATCCCCAGCCAGGGAGCTGACCCACATGGTGTAGCAGACCTCTTCTGACTCTCCCGCTGCTCCCCTCATCAGTGTACCTTGTCAGTCTGCCTGTTCTGCTCCCCACTCTGTCTCTGGTAAATCTTCTCACCCACCACACCTCTGGCCTGTACCCCAGTTCTGTGAGCATAAATAAATAAATCTTTAAAAAATAAATACTGATATCAGAGCTTTTGCACTGTTTTTCAAAGACTTGTAACCTCTATTCTATGCAAGAAAGAATGGAAGTAAATGAAGTGAGTCTCCAACTCAAGAAGTTTAAGAATAAGCAAACCTAAGGAAGGCAGAAAGGATTAGCAGAAATAATATAGACAATACTATAGTGCAATATAATAAATCAAAAGGCTCTGTCAGGGCCTGGGAGACACAATAAGTAGCCAACCCAATCAAAAATATAAGAAAATAGAAAGATATCTTGAGCATGTGACCATGAACATAGAAAAGGATTAAAGGAATCTAAAGATAGTACCTTGTACAACTCTGTCAGATAATTTGAAAACCTGGACAAAGTGATTTTCTTATTTCTTACCAAAATAAATCCCAAAGGATGACAGACATTTATAAGAGAGTGGGACAAACTAAGATTGACAACTTGCCATAAGGGATAGACAGCCATACTTCCATTCTAATGAGGAATTTAGATTTATGCCCATAAATAGCCATTGGGCCCTCCCTGGTGGTGCAGTGGGTTAAAGCACAGCACTAAGAAGCTTAAGCCACTTCTGCATGAGTTTGATCCCCGCCTGCCCCAAGGAGATCCACATGGCGCGGCAGACCTCTCCTGACCCGCCCGCTGCTCCCCTCAGCAGTGTACTTCGTCCATCTACCTGTTCTGCTCCCCACTCTGTCTCTGGTGAATCCTCTCACCCTCCACATCTCTGGCCTATACCCCATTTCTATATAAATAAATAAATCTTTAAAATAAATAAAGAGCCATTGAACATTTTTGACTGTGACTGACTTCTCAGATTTGCTTTTGAGAAATGTGGGGGTTTTTGTTGGTTTTTTTTTTAAGTAGGAAGACAGATAGCTTCGTTTATTAACAGAGATAGTATCACATTCATCTCTGTATTTCTCAAACTCTAATATAGTACTTAAGAAACATAAGGCAATGGAGGTAAACAGATACCGAGCCTAGGATGGAAGACCAAATTGAAGAATAACATCATGAAAATCAAGATTTAGATGATGACTTTAAAAACAAAATTACTTCGAGCAAAGAACTTCACAAATATAGGATAGCCTCGAGCTGAAACTCTTTGACTGGCAGTTGGTCCTTGTTCCTGAGCAACTTGAACTTACTGCGATACCATAAAAACACATGTTGTAAGCCAATTCTACCTCAGTAAAAATCACTAAAATTTTTTTAAAAGGGAAGAAAAAGTAGTGATGGACAAGAGCCATATAATCAAATTGGGAAGACATTGTTTTCCCTTAGTACATCTACTCTCCAGTACAGAACTTGGACAATCACAATCTGACCCTATTTATTATTTTTAAGCTGATTCTTTTATGCCATGTATTTCATATAATTTTTGGAGTTCATTGATAAATGTTTGAATAGTAAAATTATCTCTCTACATAAGTTAGTCAAATAAATGTTCTATAACGCTTCAGAATTTACACCATCCTGGGATTGTAAACCTGGAATGTATGTTTGAAACCCCAGAACGAGTTTTTGTTGTGATGGAAAAGCTGCATGGAGATATGTTGGAAATGATTCTGTCCAGCGAGAAAAGTCGGCTTCCAGAACGAATTACTAAATTCATGGTCACACAGGTATTTTATCTATTTTAAAGCTAAACAATCTCAAGACTAAGAATTAAAGAGCAGTGCTTTTCTAAATTGGAATATTGTGGGAATAGTTAGCCTTGAAGAATAGAATAACATTTTACTTAAATCCTGGTGAACTGTAGTGGACTTTTCAAATGACTGTACCATTTAGGGGGTCAGATTAGAATTTAGTTATGACTTCATTCAGGCATTAATAGCCTTTTCTTCAATAACAGATACTTGTTGCTCTGAGGAATCTACATTTTAAGAATATTGTACACTGTGATTTAAAACCAGAAAATGTACTACTTGCATCAGCAGAGCCATTTCCTCAGGTAAGAAATCTCCAGAAGATTTTTTTTTTTAAAGATTTATTTATTCATTCATACAGAACTGGGGTACAGGCCAGAGATGTGGAGGGTGAGAGCCTTCACCAGAGACAGAGTGGGAAGCAGAACAGGCAGATGGACGAAATATACTGCTGAGGGGAGCAGCGAGCGGGTCAGGAGAGGTCTACCACGCCATGTGGTCACCTCCGGGGCAGGCGGGGATCAAACTCATGCGGAAGTGGCTTAAGCTTCTTAGTGCTGTGCTTTAACCCGCTGCGCCACCAGGGAGGGCCTCTCCAGAAGATTTTTAAGATTTGTTTTCATTGCCTGTCTGACAACATTACTAAGTTCCCATGTAGCAAAGACCTCCAATGTTATAGGTTCAAACACATAGTCATTCTAAGGTTTTTAACCTGTAACATTTAGTGAGGATTAATATTTGAATAATTTGAATTCAAATTTCACTGATTACATTATTTTTATTAAGACTTCTTAAACATAACCAGACTTCTTAAACTAGTCCTAACCATTTTGCACAAAAATTGTTAAAAATTCACCTCTCCCATTGAGTTGGGAATGAAATGGGGGAAGAATCAACTTAAATTGGTACATGATGCTCAGGACAAATTCTCCATGAAATAAGATAGATTGGAAGGTAACCCAGAAATGGAAGATACTAGATTTTGGTTGAGCAAGCAGCCAACTTTTCCTCTCTACAGAACTATATTTCAAATGTTTTCACCAAAATCTATAGGAGAGTCACATTTCCCATGACTACCAGTGTCAGACATGATAGTACTGTGTGTCCTATGTGTGTTGCATTCATTAGTCACTTCAATAAATTTCATTTTATGAAAAATATTGATCTAGATCTAAATTTATTTCATAATTTAAATATCAGTCATAGCCCCAAAGTTTGAAACAGTTGCCTTGAATATCTATGTTGGTAGTACCTATGAATGTTCCCAATTTTGTCACTGAACAGTTCCCCATTCAGCTAGAGTATTTGTTGCTATATTATTGTTCTTGTACATTTAAAGGATGAACAATTGGACGTCTAGAATAAACAACTCAAATTATGTTTCCAAGAAAAATATTTTTAAAATTCAGCTTTTTAGTTTTAAAAATGTTTTATGATTTCTATTCGGTAACGTATGGTTATGTATTATTGTGTGATCAAGGAGTTTCCTGGTAGTTTGGTACTTCTGTGTTATCTCATTTGAGCTTCAAAATGGTATGGGTAATGGAGGTATACCTGTTACCAACGATAAGCTCGAATTTTCTGACGTCTGCTTTATTGATCCTAGTGTTACCATTAGAAACAAAGGGGAAATGATGTCATTTACTTGACACTCTTTTATTCAAGTACTAGCCAGGCCGTGTTTCATTAGTCAGTTGTCCAGGTCATATTTACATTAACAAGATGTTAGCTATTTAACAAAAAAGAGAGTTCCGATTTCTTCACATTTAGTAATCCTATTCTTTGAAGACTCAAGTAGAGAAGTAGCCAAATGCAGTGCACAGAATAAATAGCATCATAAAAATATATCTGAGGATCCAGATCTGAGAAACAGCCAGCTACATTTGAATATACCTTTGATCACCAATCACTGTTTCTCTTAATGGAGGGCAGATTCTTTTGCTCAAATTATTTTAAGGTTGTTTTTTTTTTTTTCTTAAAGACATGCTGAGAGTCAGGACATTCTCTCCAGAAAGTACTTGGTATTAGCTTAAATATGAATGCATCATTAGTCACCAAAATCTAAACCTGTTCTAGAGAGTGGGTAGCAAGATAAATTATGAGCCACACTCATTGCACATCCATAGCTCTATCATGGTCCAGAACTATTTTGACTATCACTACTTGCAGATAGAACTTTTATCATACCTAAACACCCAATTTGCAACAATTTGCTTCTTGGACACAGAGAAGTTATCTTACTCTTTCAAGTAATAATATAGCACTATTCTACTGTGTCAGTTTATAGTATCCTTAGGAAGAGAGATTCTGGAACTAAGCAAAAATAAATGATAAGTTTTTAGGTTTTACTTTTCATTTAGGAGACATGTATTCAGTCCTTTTGTGTGTGTAGTCATAAGGCCATTGGAACTTCAAAAGTGGAACACTTACTTCCTGCTCTCGGATGAAATTAAAGTGAGCCCTAAAAGCTAAATGATAAAAGATCAACACCCTCCATTCTATTTCATCAAAAAACTTAACACCAGTCTGGTATTTTAGAAACATGTATGTGCATTATAGGTTGACACATTATGTAAACTTACCGTCATCTGTGATTTCCAGGTGAAGCTGTGTGACTTTGGTTTTGCACGCATCATCGGTGAAAAGTCATTCAGGAGGTCTGTAGTAGGAACGCCAGCATATTTGGCCCCTGAAGTTCTCAGGAGCAAAGGCTACAACCGTTCTCTAGATATGTGGTCAGTGGGAGTTATTGTCTATGTGAGCCTCAGTGGCACGTTTCCTTTCAATGAAGATGAAGATATAAATGACCAGATCCAAAACGCTGCATTTATGTACCCACCAAATCCATGGAAAGAAATTTCTGGTGAAGGTAAACTTTAGTTCTGTGCTATTTAATCTACAAATCTTGACTCCAAGTTAACCTGTCTTTTCTGATTCCTCTTTCACTCATTTCTAAAATTCACTTACCAATTTCGAGCACTGTTCCTTTTCATTGTGTTTTTATATCTTCCTTACATTTCCAGGCATAACATTAAGCCAAGCCCAGTTGCCTTAGTTTGAAACTACTAAAATAATTGTTTAACTGACTTAACCATCAAGCTGTCTCCTGGCTCTTCATCACCACTGTCAAATCTTCTGGAACTCCCATTTTCATCTTAATCTGCTTGCACCCACATGGGCCTCCCTTTCATCCATTGCAGCTGTAGGCTCTATATGTGACATCTTCCACGACTTCCCTATAAAAGCCTGCTTGTGTACTCTCTTCTGATCTTCGTTTTGTGTAGGTCTTTTCCCCTGCCTACAGCACCCCTTTTCAGTATTAATGCCCTTCTGTGAGGTTTTCCCTTGATTCCCCCTCTAAACTGTGTGAGATGTTACTTAGCCTACTAGTTGGACGTATTTTTCCAAGTATTCTTGTCTTTTCATAATTACTTTTCCTGTCTTCACAAGACTGTTAGCTCCTTCAATGGAGCCCTCTGGTTTGGTTCTTTATACCAAGCTTTATACTCAGAAGACCTCATTTGTTTTTAGCTCTTTTATGGGCCACTACTGGGGACCCTCATACATTTGAAACTGATTTTCCAGTTTCATCTCCTCATTTTGTATCTGTCAAGAATGGTCTGGTTGACCCTTTTTTCTGATACTGGAAGGAAGAGTGCACCACTTAAAAGCATTATTTAACAGACCCATAGAATTTAATGGAACCACTGGTAGGGACTTACCCCATGTGGATTTCACCAAACCTTAGAACAGATGTAAGGCTTTTATTTTTCCAGACCTAATCACAATGATGAGTTCATTATACTGTTCATTATACAGTTCATTATACTGAGCAAAGTGTGAAAAACAGCATGATAAAGAAAGCAGTAGGTTGTCTTTATTTACAATAGGAAAGGCATGGAATCAACCCAAATGCTCAAAAGTAGATGACTGTATCAAAAAGATATGGTACATATACACAATGGAATATTACTCAACAAAGATAAACACATGCCTTTTGCAGCAACATGGATGGAGCTGGAAGGATTGTGCTTAGTGAAATAAGCCAGAAAGAAAAAGAGAAATACCAGATGGCATCACTCATAGCAGGAGTATAAAGGACCAGGGGAGAAAATAATAATAATGAACAACTATATACCAGAGACATTTTTACATGGGGAATGGGATCAAAAATGGGGGTGGGGGGGTGCACTGGATGATGGCACATGGGGATTACAACTGAGATGGAAAAGGCACAAAATGATATAAAAATAAACTATTATTTTTAAAAAATAAATAAAAACAAACAAAAAATAAAGCAGGTTCACTTGATAATGGACAGAATAAGTTGAAGAACATTTAAGAGGTTTTGGATGTTACCAAAATTACCTTTGTGCTGCTGGGCAGTGCAGCCTGTGGTCCTCTTATTATATGACTCCCTTTTAAGTGTCTAAGAAGAAAAACCCTAGTTCACATCTCAGATAATTCAGATTTATCTGTTGGAATGATAACCACAAAAACATTTTAAATAAATACCCACAAATCATTCTTGATTGGTGGAATATCATTTAAGAGCCAATGTATAAAGGCTTGAAGTATTTAGAACACAGAGAAATTCATAACTAAAATGTTTATGGAAAAATCTTTGGTGGTATATTAAAGAGAAATAATACTAGTATATGTTTTTCATTTGTCTCATCTCAGGTCCAGGTCTTAATATCATTATTTCAAGTATATTATTATATTGGGTCATTTTCTGTGGATAATACATGGTTGCTTTGGTTTTATACTCGGTCCATTTCTCAAAAAAGTTGGGTAAAGTATGTATGCCAAGATTTCACCATAAGTACCAAAATGCTAATGTATTTGTCAAAACCTGTTGTGAACTTTTATTTTTTAAAAAAGATTACTTATACATACAAGAACTGTGGAATAGGTCAGAGATGCTGAGGATGAGAGGATCTAGCAGAGACAGAATGGGAAACAGAAGTGGCAGACTGATTGAAATACACTGCTGAGGAGGGCAGCAGGTTGGGGCAGGAGAGGCCTGCCACACCCACGTGAGTCATTTTCCTGGCTGGGGATAATTAGTGTTTCCTGACTGCATTAGATGTAACTTCCTAGAGCTGTGCTTTACCCTCTTGCGCCACCAGGGAGGGCCCAAGTATGTCTCATCAGTCAAGCCACTAATGTTGAGGCAGATCAGTGGCTTTGGCTACTTTTCCAGATCAAACCAGAGACTAGAGAATACAGTGGCATTGAAAAGAGTGGGGGAGTTAGCCTATAGTCAGAGCTTTATTCATCTGGATGTGTGAGATTTACTACTCACTTAGCACTTAGATATTAAGTACCATTCTAAGCTCTTTACATGTTTTCAACTAATTTTGATCACCTCAACCTCATTTTACAGGTAAAGACACTGAGGCACACTGTAGATTAGAACTGACTCCACATTATAGAAGTAAGTGGCAAATGACTTTAGCCCAGGCAGGCTGTCTTCAGATACCTACTTTTAATCTTCATTCTATACTGCCTCTTTAACAGGTACACTATATACCCAGTAAACATTTTGGGTCACTGGCATGTTAACTTAAAGGCCTTGGTCTTAGGCAGATATCCTCAACCCTATATACAATGGATTGAACTACCTTCTAGAAAGAGTCACAAGTATAGGATGGCCTGTATACCCAGATTTACATATCAAATTGTCTTTTCCCCTAGCAATTGACTTGATAAACAATCTACTTCAAGTGAAGATGAGAAAACGTTATAGTGTGGACAAATCTCTTAGTCATCCCTGGCTACAGGTAAAAATAAAGTCTCTTTGGCAATTTTTTGAATCGTTCATTGTGATTTGTTTAGTAGGTGTTCTTCAGGGTACACTATGGCTGAATCTACACCATTCAAATGCAAAAATAATAGGTAATTACACTTATGACTGAAAGCAGTGATTGAGCTTTTTATAAGGCCTTGTATGTTCATGTCACTCTTTGTAAGATAATCATGACATACTATTTTGTCAAATACACTTTATTTGTAAAACATCCACTAAAGGTTTATTTATGTTTGCATTAAAAAACTCAGAAATCCCATTTTGAAATGTTTCTTAGTTCCCCAAAAGCTATTGCATAGATTCATCAAAAGATAGTACTCCAAACTTCAGAAATATTTTAAAGGAAGTGAATGGAAGAGTTAACTTCAAAACAAAAGCAATTAGTCTCATTAATCATTGTATTATCCTGATTATAATCTAAATACCCTGTTTGTCCAATGGTAAAGAACAAAATACTGGTGGTTATTATTAGCCACTTCAGAACCTTGAAGCATTGTTTAAATTTTAGAAACTAGTTGCTGTCTTCATTGAAGATGAATTTGAGAAAGTGTATTTAACCAAAAAAGCTTGAGATGATTTTGTTTCCTTCATAGTTCATATAATCACTTTTTTTTTCTCCTTAAGGACTATCAGACTTGGCTTGACCTTCGAGAATTTGAAACTCGCATTGGAGAACGTTATATTACACATGAAAGTGATGACGCCCGCTGGGAAATACACGCATATACACACAACCTTGTATACCCAAAGCACTTCATTATGGCTCCCAATCCAGATGATATGGAAGAAGATCCTTAATAATCAAGGAACTAACTTCTTAAGGAAGAATTTCATTTTATGGATTGATATTTTGCTGCACAACTGTTCTCTGTAAGTTGTCATCTGCAGGGATGCAAAGACATGAGGAATATAAGGAATCAGTGACACCAATACTGTAGTTCACAATGAGTAGGTACAAGAGGGGAAAGTGAATAACAGAAACACATAATGGAACCAACGTGAAATTTTTCACAAATTTTTACAGCATAAACAACTGGTTTTTTTGTTTTTTTCCTATCTTCAATTTAGTACAGTAGCAGCACTTAATACTGCCTTTCCTGTATCTCATGTAATTTTTTTAAGGAGACAAAGACAAGGCTAGAGTCCAGTTACTGCATAGTTCAACCAAATAATACAAGAGTTGTAGGTTGGTTACTAAATAGGTTTGCATTTAAAAGATAACAGAGGCTACCAGCATGTAATTTTAACATTTGTTTCATTGACCATAGATACCTTTTGGGGTTTTTCCTTGGAATCTAGAAAATCTAGACCAGCTACCCTTTCATTTTAGGTCAATCAAGATTCCAAAATGATCCCTAAGCTTTTTGAGTTGAAACTCTGAATATGCCCTATACAACAGAAAAATTAAAGTTACCACCTTTTGTGAGTAGGTTGCAACAGCCTCTAAGATAATTCAGGACAACTGATGTTATAAAACCAGGAATAGGAATTGCTTGTCTAAGTGCTGAGTGTTAGTCTTCTCATAGCTCAACTCTGCTGCTAAATACTCATTTTTCCCATTGATACCACTGTAATGCCACAATTGGATTCCAGCATTTAGTGGCTATAAGGTTAAACTTTGGAGTTGGGTAATTAGAGAGGAAAAAAACCTTAAATACTAGAATAAGGTCAGTATAGGGTCACTTAGTGCTATAGTAAAGATTAGCAAACAGTATCCTTTTTTCCTTCCCTTAGGTTATGGAGAGCTTTACCAATATTTGGAATACTTTAAAGCCAATCATTTTAAGGAGTTTGGGGGAGCAAGTAAGGTGGCACATCAATAGTTGACAAAAGCAGGGCTGTATTAGGAGAGTAAAGAAAAAATGAAGTAAGTTCCAGGTTTGGTTTTTAAAAAAAGACATAAGCTCTAACAGCAGCTAAAATTTTTTTCTACTCATCTGTAGTATTTAAGAAGCCATTTCTCATATCTTTTAGAAAGTTACTCATAGTTTTTCCCAAAAATGATTTAAGATCTGGTACTGTCTACTTACAAAAAACCCAGTGGAGTTTTGTTTCTTCATTCCTCACTAATCATTGTAAGCCCTTTTTTTGAAATCCCCAAAAACCTAAAAGATTATAGAGTCAGAAGATCTGGGTTTAAATCACGGCTCCTTTATTAGCTGTGTAAGCCTACTTAGGCAGCTAACAATCTTGAATTCTTCAGACAATTAAATGAAGATAATAATTTGAAGATTAACTGGAATAATGTTCGTTGCTATATTTATATAATCAAACCTTACAAAGCCATGAAATTAATTGCACTCTTTTTGTTTTTGTTGTGAACGCCTAAGAAAAGTTACCTAAAAAAATTTGTAAAGGCACTGTCAAGTAATTTGGAGTTGAATAATTACTCCAACTACCTTATAATTTGCATAGTATTTTGTCTTGAAGTGGTGTTTGTATAAGAAATGTTAGAAACATTTGATAATGTACAAAGTAGTCTATAATGACATTGTTCAGTACATTTTTATATTTTTTGTTACATCCTACTTTTTGTAAATAACCTCAAGCTTGATAATAAAATGTATTTCCATATCATCATACTTTTCCATGTGAAAACCTGAGCCTTTATCTAGTAGAGGTATCCAAAGAAAATACTGGGTTGTGTTATTTTCCCAGGCCTTGGTAAGAGAACTATTTTGAAAATAGTATTTCTAAATTAAAATAATGCTATTATTTAATATCACTATCTTTAACTGCCTGATATAAAAAAACACCTCACTGTAATAATTTTACATGAAATTTGAGGTTAGTTATCTGGAGGTCTCATTTCTTGGCATGGAAGTTTGGAATAATTAGAACTATAAATTTCTCAGGAACTACTATCAAACATTCAACTATTGTAAACTACTTTGAAGGCTTAAATAAGTTAAATACTTAGCATCAAAGTCAATTTTCTAGTTTTTAAGAGACAAAGCATTGCCTCCTTCCCCTTAGTTATAAATAATGAAATGATTGGGAGGAGCTAATGATAGGCATTTTTATCTTAAAATTTTTTCCAACAAAATCTTTGGGAAAAGAAAATAAATATGAAAGCAATAAAAGCAGATAGATAGGAATGCCCCAAAACTGGGCTATATCTGAAAAACAAGGTTTTCAACTTCCTGTCCTTTAGAGAGATACAGAATAGTAGTCCTAGTCTAAAAAGACAATAAAAGTGACATGACCACTGTGCCTGTTAACTTACAAAATACTTAAGCCATCAATTTAGACATGTGGCCAGTAGTCTTTTACTCACACTGGTAAGTTTATGTTGCTAACATAGCAACTGCTTATGAAGTCCATGTTGTTGTTGATTTTTTAAATTCTGTGAACCAAAAAAAAAAAACTAAATCTGAACATTTTTATTTGAAAATAAAGAATTAGCTCAATTTAGAAAATGATTCTTCCTTCACAGTAATCCACATTTACTGTAATTCCTATTTCAAGTACATGATTGATTTATTGGTTTCTCTTCCTAACCCTCAAATCCATTTCCAGACCAGGAGATTTAATAGTGATTAATGCATCTTTTATTTTTTATTTATGAGTAAATAAATATTAGAGAACAGAAAACTATCAGTCTGTACTTGTAATGTTAAACTATAAGCATTTCTTGAATATAGCAGCTAACATTATAAATTCAAAGGAAACTCAGTTTCACAATAACTTTGAGAACACATACTTGTACTAAGAGTCACACACAACCATAAACGTTAAATGTTGAATCATACCATAAATAGATAGACTGTTTTTAGTGGCTGTGAAGAGATAAAATATTTTAATGGTTACATTACCTGCAATATATAAAATGTATTCCCTTTAAATGGATTTCTTAAGCAGAGTTAGAGGCAAGAAATCCAAACTGAAGTATCACCGCCAGGCAAGTTCACCAAACCCAGCTACGGGTGATGAAGAGGGTTTTGATTGACATCCAGTCATCTGGCGATTTGTACTGTGAAGTCTCTGATGAGGTAGCAGTGCAAAAAAGTTAAATCTTTCTCCCATCTTCTTAGGATTCATTAACATATCATATCCCTGAAGTAGCTGCTGCTTCAGTGATGGATCATCTGATTTATCTAGAAGAACCTAAAAAGAAAAATCTCCTGAGTGAAAATAACCAGGATTTCTAGTTATGTGCATTGAATATTAGAAGTACTAACTGTTGGACTTAACAAGTATCCCCAGGTAGTTTGATCTACGTTGAAGACTTAAAATATCCTCAAATTTGTAAAATTTATACACGTGAACTTCATACACACACTGCTTTCTTAGCAAACAAACAGGAACATTACTTGAAAGTTTTTTCATTAGACCTCCTATGGATATGCTCAGACGGTCGGATTACACTACCTCCCACATTACTGAAAAGACTGGAACACTTAGGACCCAGCTTATTAAAAGAACACAAGACCAGATGAAGTTACTATTTAAAAGTTTTATTTTTTGTGGGTTAAATTTTTTTAATGTATTTATTTTCTTAATCAAGATAACATTAGGATACCCCCATCAGGTAACACCAATGCAGTGCACCCATCATGAAGTCATCAGTAGTCCCCTACCAGTCCATTGTGCTTTATTCCCTCTAAAAGTTATAAATACTGTGACATTAAAATACTTAATAGTGAAATAAGTCATTACCTTCAGTCGGACGTCAATTCCCATATTTTTTAAAAACATGTGTTGTTTTATTGGACCCAGAGAAGCAACTTTCCCCAGTGCCATCCTGCGCAAATAACTGAAGTCCACGTCAGCTGTAAGGTCGGCCGTTCCTGGGGCAGTTAACACGTCATGGAGTTGGTGGCCACAAAATCCCTTGAACATAATTTTAAAGTGATAATGTGTTATCTTTTTTGTAGTTACCATTACAATTTAAAAGATGCTTACATGTCACATAACTTTTAAAAACACCTTTACTCCTTTATTAAACATTTTAATAACTATTAAAAACATCTTTATTCCTTTATTAAAAAGGAAACTATGGCTTAAATTAGTAATTTACAGACTCTAGAGCAGCACCTTTCTTTAAAGGAGATGCTACATGGAAAATGCAATGTAAAGTACAGTGCTTCTGGGGCCTGAAGAAACTGTCCTTGATAATTATTTAACATTTATTTAATGCCCATGGTGAGCAGACGGAATCACATTAATTCTCTGCATGGATTCTTGACAGTGTCTTATAAAGTATATCCATGAGTGAGCCATGTGCATCAGAATATGTTATGGAACTCTACCCAGAGCTATGAATCAGAGTAGACTATAGAATGAGTACTTTAAACAAAAACTCTAGGTTTTTCTTAGATACAATGAGGTTAGAAATCCAGAGCTATTTCTGAATTACAGTTACAAACCAATGTTACCTTAATCATAAAAAAAATTTTTTTAATTAACCACAGCCCTAGAAAAGGACCAACAGCAATTAGTTAAATTTATTTAAAGTGTCCTGAACAGAATTGATCATATTCAAAAAACATAACCATTTTTTAGGGAAGGTAAAAATCTAGAGAGGAATAAAGATGTTGACAGAAAAAGTTTGAACCAACTATGTAATGAGTTGCAAAATAAAAGTTTTAGAGCTAGATTAAATCTACAAAAGGATCACAATTTTTAATAATTAAAGGAGAAAAGTAAACTTAAGAAAACCTTCCTATATGTATTCTTCAGATGCTTAACAAGGATCTATGCAAATCTAAGTTCTGCATCGTAAGGAAAACGTAGATAATTCAACTGTTCAGAAGAAAGTGGGATCAGCGGACTCAGAATTAGGAGTAATATCTGTTAAGGGTAATTAAAATACAAAGATTAACTATAAAATAATTCATGATTGAAATTGTTAGGCACCAAAGATAAAGATCCTCAATGAGTATAGGTAAATCATAGCAATTTTATTAAGTCATATTATTAAATTATATTAACATACGCGGAAAGTATCTGTCTTAGTTCCATCATGACCATAATCAGCAATCAGCGCAGCACCTCCAGTTAGTGCAATGCGTTGAGAAAGTTCCTGAATAATAACCCCAGCATCAGGACACACTTCCACATGATCCCTTGTTTCATCATGCTAGTAAGGAAACCAGATGAAATAATCAAAATGTGTCATAAAAAATGCTCAAGATTTTCCCTACTTTCAGTTTTCTACAATGAGCATTTTAGTTGTAACACTACAATCATTCTCAATGTGAACATGTCCTGACTCACCTTTCACTTGACGTCCCTTTTATACATATGTATACACGCACGCTTGCTTGCACACCAAACCTGTCTGTTGTAAGGATTAAATTAAACAAAACACTAAGCCCCCAGTGCTACTAAATAAACTGATGTGGTTTATCAGTAAACCCATGAGGTCAGGGACTTTCTGGCATAAGCTAACACCTCGGCTTATCCTACTGACATTCTCACCATCTTAATCTGCTCTTCAAAAGGACAAATTTTGAAGATGCGGTAATAACTCCACCTAAACGAAGGGAAATAATGACTTCCTAAAAGTCACAACTCCAACAGAGGTGGGAGTTAACCCATTAGTTTATAAATTTATTTCTCAAGCAGGCAAAATTAGGTCGCCAGAATATGAAAAAATAGAAATGTTCACAGGTTGAAGTTCAGGCTGGTATTTTAAACTACACTTTGCAAAGAACATTCATAGATTTCTGTTTGAAAGCTCTTGTGCATCTTTAAAATTGGTAACTTCCAACAGAAATCTCAATTATGGTCCAGAAAATTAAATCTTTTTTTCTGAGCTGACAAAAGAGGAATAAAACAGGCAAGCTAAAACCCAAGTATTCCTGAGTATTAGGTGATTTTTATTTTTTTGGTAATCATAAGTGACAGCCCAAGATAGGCTCTTTTGATTATTCCTTGAGGTCCACAGAAAGCAGAAGAAAATCTATCATCTTGGCAGTCTAGAATCAAAGCATGATTTAGTAGTAGCCCAGAGTGATAACTTATTATTGAGTTGTTTTGAGAATTAAATGAGAAAACACAGAGTTATACATACAAAGTACTTAATATTGTTATTGCTGCTTTACACTATATCATTGTTTTCACAGACAGTAAAATCATTTTTGTGAAGACAATATTGTCATCATTTGTTAGTCAGAAAACTGAGGTAAACAAGGTAAGGGATTTGCTGTGTAAATGTTACTTTTAACTCTTATTATATGAAGGTCACACAACTAAAATGATTTTAAGCCAGGCCTCTGACTGAGCTATTCATTACTAAAAAGCACCTCACATATTATAAGCAATTCTTTCCCTCTGCAAGGAATGTCCAAGTAGTAATAGGACAGATCTGGTAGAGAAATTAAGAAGAAAAAAAACTTCTTACTTGTATGAAGGCCTCTGCTGGTGTGGCACAAGGTGCCAAAACAAACCGTAGTTTATCAGAAACCTGTGGATCAATATCAATGAATACTTCTCGCCATCCTTGTGGTGTTTTCTAAACACAAAGTATAAAACAAGTTTCTCTTAAGTTTGTCCTTAAGATTGCATCTACCAAAAATAACTACTCGTTTCCTCCACTTAACCACATATAAAACAAGTAACATTTCCAGAGCACTTCTCTGCTTAAAATTTGTAAATGTACTACTCATTTCCTTTGAAGTATGAGTAGACTGACAGGTGCAAACTATTAATATTGTTTCAATCACAGGTAATAAGCTGCATCATAGGGTCCAAATGGAAACAGGCTAGAGCTAATCAGGAGCTTTTGCTAACAAATGACCACATATAATAGGTACTCTTAACCTTAGATTACCAGTATCTGAACATTACCACCAAATCTTAAATCCTCACAGAAAGAATAGAGAACAATTAGAATCTTTGGAATTTAAAACTATTTACTAAATAAAAATGAACTCAGTGAATTATAGTTGTTTACCATCTTACATGCTTTATTCCAAGAGAATTAAAATTTTTAAGTAATTATTCCAAGAGAAATAAGAATTCTATTAATAGTTCACATTTACTTTTCAATTATTTATATTCATCAAAATTCAAAAAAAAACTCATGTTTATATAGTAAGTGAATAAGTGTTTATCCTTTCAACATAAGGCATTTTGTTATTCAATTATAAATACGATTTTTCTCCATCAATACCTGAAACTTATGCACAGGAAGGACATCAAAGAATTCATGTGCAAGATAAAAGCTGTACCCTATTTGAAAACAGAAGGAAAAAAAAGGTTCAAAAATTTTAAAGAAACTGGGTGGTTAAAACTATTAAAAAGAAAATGTCTCTTCTTCACACTGGAATCTGAAGCTTTCAACACACCATTACACAGAATCAGCCACCTCTTCATGGCCAAAGTACTCTACAGAACATACGAAAGAACAAGTTTTGCTATTCTCATTTTCTACACAGCTGGGTTAGAGATCTGAAATAGCTGAATTGTCAGTTCAATCATTCATTCATCATTAAGCCTGAAAGAGATTTAGAACTCAAATCTGTTCACTGGAAGAGTTTAATTTTATACAATCTTCTGAGAAGACTAAAGCCAGGAATGGTGAAATCCTTTAGCCCAGATCAGATCCCACTTTTGGTTCCAGCTGGGCTCATTGCTGTAAGATTCCTGACCGGTGCAGGATGCCTGCCACCACCCTTACTTGTCTAAGCCAGAGAGATGACAAAAGAAGACAAACTAAACCCAACTATGGTCACTTCTTCCTTCAGCCCCTGTTGCACTGGGCATCATCTTCAGTAATATCTCAAGGGTAGGAAAAACTATAAGAGAAACCTACATTTTTTACATTAAGTAAAATTCTCTGCCCATTAATATTAGATGATTTTATTTTCCAACACAAAGTTATTTTCTAGAAGAGAGTTCAGTTTCTCTATTGCTAAAGGAATTGGCAACACTAATGCCATTATTTTACTGAGCAAGGTTGTGGTCATATCATTGCTATGAAGAGCTGCAATGAAAATTACTTCCTTAGTCAATGTGAAGTAATTACCTTTTGGAACATCTCGCAGATCCCGGTACCAGGAAATTGGAATCCCAGACTTAGTAACACCTTTCATATATGCTGGGGACTCAGCATTCCGTTCTAGTGGGACCTTCTCTTCAGTCAATGTTAATGCTTGAATCTCACTTAATTTCTGGCTCACCTCTACCAGGTGTATTGAAATGTCACAGTTTTTCAGCACAGATCTAAGCTGACTGAACACCTAAGTACAAAAAGGGGGGGGGAGGAGAGGAAGATGGCAAGTACAATGTATTCAGCAAATTTTAGGCTTACTAACCATTTACTTCAATAATTTGCTCCTATCAAGGTAGTAATATTTGGTTTCAGAGAGATTTGCTCCTCACACAGTTACTCTTCAGCAGTCAATGAGAATCATCTCTGGCCTATACCCCAGTTCTGTGCGAATAAATAAATAAATCTTTAAAAAAATAATAATTTAGGAAATCTAAAAAAAGGCCAAGGGAAAAAATATATATGCCTTGATTTTATAAAGCCGCCATCCTGTGAAATCTTATCTTTGAGATGATCAAACTGTCTTCAGGGAATCAGATTTGAATGGTACTAATAACTCAAAAAGGTTTAACTTTGGGATTCAGTTTTGTTTTTAGCTACAAAAAAAAGTTTTTTTTTAAAGATTTATTTATTGTGCATACAGAACTGGGGTACAGGCCAGAGGCACAGGGGTGGTGAGAGGATTCACCAGAGTCAGAGTGGGGAGCAGAACAGGCAGATTGACAAAATACACTACTAAGAGGAGCAGCGGGCGGGTCAGGAGAGGTCTGCTGTGCCATGTGGATCGCCTCTGGGGCAGGCAGGTGTCATGCTAAAGTGGCCTTAGCTTCTTAGAGCTGGGCTTTTTTAACCCGCTGCGCCACCAGGGAGGGCCCAGCTACAAATATTTTTAGCTGCTGTAAGCATGAAGGAAAACACATCAATATTTTATTAATTGGATGCAAAAAATTCAGTGTAAAGAATAAGGCATAACAATATATTTTGCTTGATTTTAATTTTCACTAGTGATTTGTCTCCCATTTTTAAGATTTAACTTTTCAGGTATAGACTGATAATGTGAACAGATGATTTTTCTAAATTTAGCTTTAAGTTGAAAATGCAAATGGAAAAATTTCCTCCTTAGAGAAGATTCTTTCAGAAAGTGAGGTCAAAAATACAAACAGGTATATAATGACTTCTTTGGCTATTTACTTTACATTCCTTTAAATGTTCTGGCTCTTTAAGAGTGCTTAGGACTTGATCTAGGGAAGCACCTTCTACATTTTAAAAGCTGTGGGTTTGATTTTTAAGGTAATTAAAACAAGGAAATATTATTTGAGAATCATTTCATATTTAAATGGCTTTGCCCACTTAAACAGATGTAAAGTAGATCCCTGGGAACTTAACTCTGTTTTTGTTCCCCCTCCAAAAATAATATAACCAGGATTATTATTTGTCAGATGTTTACAAACTTCCTTTAAAACACTCACTAAGGGCTCTCCCTGGTGGTGCAGCGGGTTAAAGCACTGCATTATGAAGCTCTCTAAAGCCACTGCAGCACAGTTCAATCCCCGGCCAGGTAGCTGACCCACATGGCGCGGCAGACCTCTCCTGACCCGCCCACTGCTCCCCTCAGCAGTGTACTTTGTCAGTCTGCCTGTTCTGCTCCCCACTCTGTCTCTGGTAATCCTCACTCCCCACACCTCTGGCTTGTACCCCAGTTTTGTAAGCATAAATAAATTTTTTTAAAAAGTGGTTATGTCCAATGGAAGAGATATATCTCCTTGAATATAGAGTACTATAAATCACTGCTACCTAAGTATAAAAAATATTCATATATTTATATTAAAAAAAACAAAAACACTCACTAAATATTTTAAGCAAAATTCAGACACCAAGAAATGTCAACTTATACTGGACATGTATTTTGTATACCAGGTGTGCATGAAATAAACTCAAAAAGGTTAATGGATTCCAAAACATTATAAACTATATGTTTATTAAGTGAAATTATGTATCATGCACTATAAACAACATTCCTTTCTTTTTAATGTTTTTTATAAAATATTAGGAAGAGGGATATACATGTTATCTGCCCAGATATTAAAGAACTGGGATATCTTTATCATTAGTGACTCCCTGTCTCCCCTGCCCTCAGATGTCACCATCATTCTGACTCTCAAATTTATATTGGCCTTCAATTTTGAGGGGCCGATTATCTCACTGTAATATTCATCTTCATGTTCCTCACAATCACTGAACCTGAGACTCTTTTTGCCTTTATTGACATTTGAATTTCCTTTTTACATCTTTGGCCTAATTTCTCTTTTGAGTTAGCAATTTCTTTGTATTAAAGGAGTTCTTTACTCCAACTACTTTGAAAATAGATCATTTTGAAAATAATCTATCTCATTTTGTGGCTTATCGATTCAATCTGTTTATACCATCTCTGAAGAGTACATTTCTAATTTCTTTAAACAACAAAAAGTTCATTTTAATGTAGCAAAAATTACTAATTTTTTTCCTTTATGGCTTCTGTTTCTTTATAGAATTAAAATTTTCCTACTTAGATGACAAATATTCTCCCATAATATCTTTATTAAATAAATATTTATGGCTTTTTTTCTCATTCTCCCTCCACTACCATTCTTTAAGCTTACAGATAATAGATTCATTACATTTTTCTAACATTGTATTTTAGCTGAGAAACATGAGGCTAAGGAGGTAGAATTAAAAATCAAGATTAAGAAAGTTTGCAAATAGTCAAAAGATAAAGTTTGCAAATAGTCAAAAGATTCACATACATAAGACATTAAGACATTCTTTTCTTACCTACCCTCAAAATATCTTCTGCAAGGGTACCCCTACCTGGGCCCAGTTCCACCAGCTGGAAAGCTGTACTTTTCCCAGAAGCCATCCATTCACTAATAAACCATATCCCTAGCAGCTGTAACAAGAAAAAAATATTATAAAAGTATACCATAATAAAAAAAAAATTCCATGTAAAAGTATACTTTATGCCAGAAAACAAAATGTAAACAACCACATGATTGTTATTTAATATTCATACATGTGTGCACACACAGGAATTTCATTTGGGGCTACATTACAGTACTATTACTTAGGAAGCTTAACAGGAGAAAGTTAAAAGGTAGTTGTGCGAAAACAAATTTACATGAAATAAAGCTATGTCGCTTCCTTCTATTCAGTTAATTTCAACAATCATGTTTTTTAGTTATAATAAGTATTTTTAACACCTAGACTCTACTTCCTCTTATGTTCTAATTCTTATTTCTAAGTAAAGCAAGCTTAGTACTCAAAGACCTTAAAAGGGTGACTTCCATTGTATCTGGGCCAAGCCATAGCTGGGCCATCACGGAACACATCTGGATTCCCCTAGCTCTTGGTGTTTTCATCTTTTCTCTCTTCCTTTGTGAGTAGCCTCCCTTTCCTCACCATTCCATTTGTCCCCCTTCTTTCCCTGTCCTTTCATTTGAGTCTCTCCCCACCTCTTCACTACCATCTCTTCCCCTTTTCCTCTTAACCCTCTTATTTCTACATTTCTTTTCTACAGTAAAATATAAAGGTTTGAAAAGTTCTGATTACCATTTTCTTTCCTCTGCTGCTTTGTATTAGCTCATATATAAACTACTAATAAAGTAAAACTTTCAATAAATCACAATAAAGCTGCAACACACTATTTTCAGAATAATATTCAGAATAAGAAAGCTAGATCTGTTCTCAGATGTTTGATGACATTAGTGTTTTTTTTTTTTAATACACTTTCCATTGGGAATTACCTCCCCAAAGATCTGACTGATTTCAGGTGAAGTAATGAAATCTCCTTTTTCTCCTAGCATGTCCTGGTGCACATAATATCCCTAAGTAAAAAGAAAAACAGAAAACATATTACTAAAAAAAAAACAACTTTTCCAACAGTCCTCCAAAATCTTACATGATGTATATAGTAGACTATTTCGTAAGAAAGTTGGCTCTTGTAAATAAGCAAGATAAATGGTATTAACTGAAATTTTACAGTTTTTGTCACCTTGTAGAACTGGTAGACAGTTATTCCTTGACTGTAAACATGGAAGCCATGTAAAGCCATCTCTAAATTCTGTGCCCTTCCCTCTGCTCCCACAACCCAACAGTAAGACTCTCCCACCCCCTCCCTGACCAAATTCTTACACTTGTTTCAAATCAGCCCTGCCTGCTGGTGATGTTTCCTGACCAGGGTGCTGGTTATACTACGTGTTTGTTCTATGAATATTCATCAAGCTGTAGATTTGTGATTTATGTATTTTTCTATAAGAATAGTGTCTGTTTCAATAAAAAGTTAATTTGACTTCTTTTTTAATTAGCACACTTCTCTACATATTCATGCCTTCTTTTCCCCCCATTTCTCCCTGGAATCCTACTGTAGTAAGACTAAATCTGCTTCAGTAGCACTCCCTGATCTTCTACTCTAGCCCTCCAATCTCAGACTACACCCATTGCTTCCTTTTCTAAACTTATTTATGTATGTCTGTATTCTTCCCAGAAGGTAGTTATTTGGGGAAGAGAACTGTGTTTCTCACCTTCATACTCCAAGTTTTAGCATAATGCCAGCCTTCAAAAAAATGTGTAAAAAAAATTCCCCTATGCTCCTCACACCCATTAGTTTACCACTGAACTCTCAGCAGGTAGCCTGAGCTTTGGCCAACACAGGAACCAAGCATGTTTATTAGATCTGACTCCCTCAATTTCCTCAGCACACCTATTCATCTGTTTCCTAGAAACTCAAAACGGCTGAATGACTTCCCTTTCTGCTCTTTTCCAAACCTAATCCTCCCATCTGTGCTCTGCCTCAGTGCCATTCTTCAACAACTCTCATGGGCTAGAAAATTCATCACCCCCTTTCTATTAATTAGAGCTTTAACTCTGTCATCTCAGCACTAGAAGTATAACTAACTACTGGCTCTCTTAAATGTTTTTTCACTGCATACAGTTCCCTCTCCCTCCACCTTTCTCTTTCCCTTCACCCATAAGCATTTCAGGGGTCTATGTTACTGTCGTAATGAACCATCCCAGTGGTCTAGTGGAAACTATGGACCCCTTCAAAGAATGTTTGTAAATGCACTAAACTTAAAACACAGGATTATAGAAATCACATGAAAAATATTGAATTTTAAGGCACAAGTCTATAATAAAAGTTATTTATATTTCTGTAAGTGTGTTAAAAACTAAAATCAAGCCAAAGGTCCAGTAGTAACAAAGTTTTAGAGTACGATGCACACAATACTATTTTGTCAGTTCTGGGATCCCTGTTGTGAGATGGCAGTATCAGTGATTCCCACTACAAATCAGAGGTACTGTTAATGATACTGGTTGTTGCCTATGTTCATAACTAAAGACATGCTTAATTTTGTCAGTGAAAATATACATGTGACTTTTTTCTTTTTCCCCATCCAAATGCACAAGCCCTCTGATTTCTATTCAAGTATCCATAAGTTAATAACCTCTACTCTAAAGTTAAGAGTTATCTCAAAGTTTAACTGTGGGAAACCTTTTCTCTAAGAACACTCCCTGATTGGGTATATGCATACCCAATCTTTCCCATGAACTCCAGACTCTTACAGCCTATTGCTCACTCACCACCTACTGGTGTGTCACCACCAAAGGAATATGCCTCAGTGCCCCTCCTGATGGTCGTCTACTGCGTTGACACAAAAATCTAAATTCCACAGAAGCTTTCCATGAACTGGCTTCTCTACAACTTATAACTACTAACCCCATCCACCAACTTTCCACCTCCATCTATCACCCTCTAGCCACACTAGGGTCTTTCTCTTCTTTGTTTTCTCCAAGGCCTCTCCCAATTCAGAAACTCTGTATCCCTGCTCTTCTGGTTGGACTTCACTTCTCCCAGTTCTTTGCCAGTTGGCCCTTTCCCATCCAGCAAGCATCAATTCAAGCCTACTGATTTTCCGTAGGTATTCCATCTAACAAACTTACACCACCTCCATTCCCATGGTAAATTTTATTTTCCTTCACTTAAAAGCTCTTGCAACTAACTATGTCGCATAAGTTTTTTTTTGTTTGTTTCCTTGTTCTTATAGTTCATTTTCTCAATGGAGCAAGTATCATGATCCACTGTCCACTGCAGTATTTCCACTACGGGAAATAGTATGTGGCACATTTGGAACCTCAATAAGATTTAATGAATAAATGACCAGTGAATCCTCACTCTAACTCAAGATATAGATGGTTTTTTTTTTTCCCTTCCCTCCCCATTATCAAAAAGAAAACCCACAATATGCTTCCAATGTCTACTACAGCCATCCCAGCACAAACAACTTCTCAGGCACTAAATTTACATTTTCAGTTGCCTACTGGATATTTCCACCTAGGAGTCCTGTATATTGTATACACTTCAAATTCATGTCGGACTGAACTCTTGTCCTTCCCTTCCTTCCCAAAAGGGCTGTTGCTTCCTTCTCCAGCATTCCCTTCTTCCAGAAAAATGATTCTACTGTCTACCACCAGCTCAGAAAGTCATCCTTCCCTAGTCCCACAAATCAAACTAGTTACACTGTTTTCTGAAAACCTCTCCTCCCCTCTTCTCTATAAGGGCTGTGGCTCTGACTTTATCCTGTCGCACCAATTGCAAATGAGATTATTTGTTGCCGAGTTTTGGGTGTGCTCCTCTCCTTGAAGGCACCCCAGATGCTTCAGTTCCACATCCTCCGGCTCCTCTTGGTATACACTTCTCATTTACACCTCGAAAACCTTCTCGAGCAGGCCGGGTTCTCTGGCTCCCATACCTTGGCTGGGTTGGTCAAGACCTCCTTCATGTACTCGGCCACTGTGATAGGACCAGTAGACTTGATTTTGTACATAAGGTGCCGCAACATCGGAGTCACGGGATGGTTTTTCGCTGGCTCCTCCCCGGAGCTGAAATATTTCCCTCTCCAAACACAGGGAAGGGCTGAGAAAAACACACGTTAAATAGGTCCTATTAAACACCTTAGCAATTAGTTGGCACTGCAGCCTGAGCGCTTTTGATCAGCTCGGCGGAAGCCGGGAGAACGGACTCCTGCCCGCAGCACGCGCGCCAGATGCAGGCACCACCACCACACACCCACTTCGCCTCTGCAGCTGGACTACCGCCCCGAACACCCCAGGCGCCCGCTACTGAGGGACGCGCCCCACGGATCTCCCGGGCAACCGGAACTACGGCGCGCGTCTGCTGACCCGCGCGCACAGCGGCGCTCAGCGCTCCCGCGCCGACCCTCGCGAGGACTCTCATGCCGCACTTCTCCCACGACCCCACGCTGCCAGCCGGGCTAGTGTTCCGGCCGCTTCCGGCAGAGGGCCCGCCCCCACAGGAAGTACGTCACGGCCAAGCCGTGGGCGGCTGCGCGTCCTGCGCGCGTGCTTCGCTAGCTATGGCGGCCGCCAAGGAGCGTTTGGAGTTCCACGCCAAGCAGCATTGGCACCCGGAGGAGGCCGTAGAAGATCCGGATGAGGACGAAAATGATGAAGCGGGGAATGGGTTCTCCTTGGAGGAGGTGTTACGACTCGGAGGCAGCAAGGTAACGGCCTCGGGTTCTCTGGGAAGCGGGACGGAGGCAGTGGTCCTGCGGTGGGTCGGAAGGGCCCGCGCGCCCCCTCAGCTGCTGAGTCTGGGGCGGCGGCGACTCATATCCCGGCTTGGAAATGTTCTCTGCGAGTCTCGCACTCCTTTTCTACTGTTCTTTACAAGAAAAAAGTTGAAGATTGATGTCTTTATGGAATGTGGCCTTTCTTAAGATGTAGACGGTCCTCTTGATGAATTGATGTCATAGAAGGGGCGCTCCATCAGGTCGGGCAGGACTGATTTTAGTTTTTTGGTCCTGACTTCATGACAGTTTTGAATTCTAAAGGTGCTGGAATTCAGTTTCCCTCCTAATGGAATGTAAACACACACACGCTAGGGCAATTTCCAGAGAAATCAGAGGGCACGCACAGAGGTGACAGGTTTAATTGTCACATCTTTGGGCAGTGGGATCAGTTCGAAAAGGCTGACCCTGAATTACAGGATGGTAAGGTTTTTTACAGTTTGTAAAAGGACGCTTGTTACCCCATCTAGCATAGCACAAGCATTCGCTATTGTGTGGGGACGGGGCTAAGCTAGCCATCGCTACTACTGTGGCCAAGCACTAGACTGCAGAACTTTTCTGCTCCAGCAAGTAGCAGAATCTAAGCAGCAGACTTTGGAAACTTCCTGCTTCAACTGCAGGCTCATAAAGTCCTCTGCCCTTTTGGAAGTTACATCTTAATTAAGGGAAAAAGATTGTAACCAAACTTTTGAATAAACTACATCGTATGTCAGACAGCTGAATGGTGCTATAGAGAAAAATGAAGGAAGGAGGACAAGGCGTTTGAGAGGGCGTTACAGTTGCACATAAGGTGGTTAGGGAACCTGTGGCAGAAGTACTTGAGCAGAAATCTGACAGAAGGAAAGTAATGAGTCATGTTGTGCCATGAAGAAGGAAACTATCAGTATAGTATAGTTCTGAAGCAGAGTGAGATAAGGGGAAAGGTAGTAGGAAGTGAGGTAAGAAACTGGGCTTTTGCTCTATGTTTAATGAGAAGCCATTTGAAGATTTGCAGCAAATACATGACAGCATTTCACTTATTTCCCATTAAATGTTATTTTAAATCTAGACTTTGGTGATAGAGAGAATAGAGGCAGAAGAAATGCAACTTACAGGGACAAATCCACAGTGCTGTACTTAGGTTATATTTAATTTTTGAATAGTATATAGTATATGCTCATGACAAAATCTTTTTTTAAGAGGGGTATTTCATGAAAAGTCATCTTTCCCATTTTTATCTCCAGCCATACAATTTCACTTCCTAGAAGCAGTCATTTTCATAAATATTTTGTCTCTTAAAAGCAAATACATGTTGTATACTAGGGTTTTGTTTTTACACAAGTTATACCAAACTACAGTTATGTACAGTGCCTTAGAGATTCTCGTATAAAAATTAGTGTCACTTATGCATAAGTTTTATGCTTATGTAAGTCATGTGTTTGTCTTAATTTATCTAGCCAGCAGTTTATTGTGAGCATTTAAATTGTTAGTCTTTTGCTATTTTAAATAATGGTTCGGTAATCTATATTTTTTCCCACATTTTTTTTTTTTAAAGATATTCTCTGATTCTTTTTTTTAAAGATTTATTTATTTGTGCATACAGAACTGGGGTACAGGCCAGAGGCTCAGGGGCGGTGAGAGGCTTCACCAGAGACAGAGTGGGGAACAGAACAGGCAGATCGACGAAGTACACTGCTGAGGGGAGCAGCGGGTGGGTCAGGAGAGGTCTGCCACACCATGTGGTAACCTCCGGGGCAGGTGGGAATCGAACTCATGCAGAAGTGGCTTTAGATTCTCAGTGCTGTGTTTTAACCCACTGTGCCACCAGGGAGGGCCTTTTTCCCACATTTTTAAGTGCATATATAATCTAAATTTGTACATCTTTGATATTTTTATAAAGCTTTTATTCCTGTGAACCATTTGTTTATATTCCTTGTATATCTTTCTGTTGGGTTTTGTCTCTTAACTCATGTGGAGGAATTAAGTATGCCCAGTTATTTTGATAAGCACTTTCAGTATTTTTACCCAATTTATTTCTTCATTTTTATACATTTTTGGTTTTGAGGGAATAATCTTTTCCTTCCTTATGGACCTAAGAGCTTTATGTCAAGTTTAGGAGTTTTCCTATTCTTAAGTTATTTTTTTATTTTAAGATTTATTTATTTGTGCATTCAGAACTGGGGTACAGGCCAGACACTCAGAGGTGGCGAAAGACTTCACCGGAGACAGAGTGGGGAGCAGAACAGGCAGATTGACGAAGTACACTGCTGAAGGGAGCAGCGGGCTGGTCAGGAGAGGTCTGCCACACCTTGTGGTCACCTCCGGGGCAGGCGGGAATCGAACTTATGCGGAAGTGGTTTCAGCTTCTTAGTGCAGTGCTTTAACCCGCTGCGCCACGAGGGAGGGCCCTCTTAAATTATTTTTATAATTGTAGTGTGCTATCTCCTATCTTACAGTTCTGTTATTCTCATTTAAAACTCTGGGCCCTCCCTGGAGGTGCAAGGAGTTAAGATGCAGCACTATGAAGCTCTCCACTGCAGCATGAGTTTGCTCACCAGCCAGGGAGCTGATGGTTGTGGCATAGCAGACCTCTCCTGTTTTGCCCCCTGCTTCCTTCAATACTGTATTTCAGTAAATCTATCTGTTCTGTTCCTCACTCTGTCTCTAGTGGCTCCTCTCACTACCCACCCCCGCATCTCTGGCCTACACCCCAGTTCTTGTATGCATAAATGAATAAATCTTTAACAAACAAATCATTGATCCATCAAGTTTTTATTTGGGTATAGGATGGAAATCCAGACAACGTCATGATAACTCAATTTAATTGACTCAAAGATACATATTTCAAATTAACTGTTGATAACTAAAATGAACTCCTGAATTTGTCATTTATTTTTAACTTATGTTTTTATGCAGCAAGATTACCTTATGCTGGCTACTCTGGATGAGAATGAGGAAGTGGTGGATGGAGGCAAAAAAGGAGCAATTGATGACCTTAAAGAAGGTGAACTGGAAGCATTTATTCAAAATCTTAGTTTGGCCAAGTATGCAAAAGCGTGTTTAATTGAAGATGATGAACCAGCTAAAAATGAAAATGCCAGCAAAAAAGAAACAAAAGTAGATAATAAGAAGCAAAATGCAGCAGACTATGAAAAGGCATCAATCAGTAAGATAAAAAATAAGAAGAAACTGGATCAAAGTTCTGATAAGAACAGCAGTGCTGTACCAAAAGTGAAGAAAGATAAACAACAGGACATCTTTGAATTTTTTGAGAGGCAGACATTGTTACTCAAGCCTGGAGGTAAATGGTATGATCTGGAGTACTGCAGTGAATATTCTTTGGAGCCCCAGCCTCGGGATGTTGTGTCTAAGTACCAAACTTTGGCTCAGAAGTTATATGAGCATGAAATCAGCTTATTCAAAAATAAGGCAAATAATCAAAAGGGAGCCTCTTCTACTTGGATGAAAGCAATTGTATCCTCAGGAACTTTGGGTGACAGAATGGCAGCCATGATTCTTCTTATTCAGGATGATGCTGTCCACACACTCCAGTTTGTGGAAACTCTGATGACTCTTGTTAAAAAGAAGGGTAGCAAACAGCAGTGCCTCATGGCTTTGGATACTTTTAAAGAATTACTTATTACAGATCTTTTGCCAGACAATCGGAAGCTACGTATTTTCAGTCAGCGTCCTTTCAACAAATTAGAAGAGTTGTCCAGTGGCAACAGGGACTCAAGAGATAGAAGACTTATCTTATGGTATTTTGAACACCAGCTGAAACACTTAATGGCCGAATTTGTGCAGGTCTTAGAAACTTTGAGTCACGATTCATTAGTAACCACCAAAACTAGAGCTCTTAAAGTGGCTCATGAGCTTCTTTGCAACAAACCTGAGGAAGAAAAGGCTCTCCTTGTGCAGGTGGTGAATAAACTGGGAGATCCTCTGAACAGAATCGCCACAAAAGCTTCCCATCTATTAGAGATTTTGCTTTGTAAACATCCCAATATGAAAGGAGTTGTTTGTGGTGAAGTTGAAAGACTTCTCTTTCGCTCAAATATCAGCTCCAAAGCTCAATATTATGCAATTTGCTTTTTAAATCAAATGGCCCTGTCCCATGAAGAAAGCGACTTGGCTAATAAGTTAATAACTCTTTATTTTTGTTTTTTCCGGAGTTGTATCAAGAAAAAGGATATTGAATCAAAAATGCTTAGTGCCCTGTTGACAGGCGTGAATAGGGCATACCCATATTCTCAGACTGGTGATGAAAAAGTGAGGGAGCAGGTTGACACGCTGTTTAAAGTGCTGCATGCTGTGAATTTTAACACCAGTGTGCAGGCTTTAATGTTGCTTTTCCAAGTAATGAATTCCCAGCAGACAATATCAGATCGCTATTACTCAGCATTATATAGGTAAGTACATATCATTTCAGTATGTAAATTGAGACAGAAAGTAATCTCCTGTGCAGGCAGTGCTCCTCTGTGGAGTTAGAGAGAAACTTAGAAAATTGGATGTTAGCCCACTTCAGCAGCTTTACTACTCACCAACTTTGAATGTGCCACTTAATGTCTGTTAGTTAGCCTGTTGGATAACTCTTTTAGATGCTTTCAATACAGTGTTTATCACTTTTATTTTAAAAACTTGTTATAATACAGAAATCCCCATTTATATTATATCACATAATAATTCACAATTAACATGGTGATATTTAATTCTTTTGGGATATTTAAAGAAGCAAATCTGTAATATAATATTAACTTCCTATCTTTAGTCCTAAATTTCTTTCTTCTTTCCTCCTTTCCATGGCACAGTCACTTAGTAATTCATTCACCAAGAACTTTTGAGCACTGGTTACTGTTCCATATGCTCAGAATGTACTGTAAACAGAATTGCCACCCCTAAAGGCACTTAGATGGGGGAAGACAGATGGTGAACAAAAAAGTTTGTTAGGGAAGGACTGGCTGTTGCAATTTTGGAATATGTGGAACATTGGATTAGGATTTTGTTTACCGAATTTTGCAGTGTCCTGCAACTGACCCACTGAGGGATGCTATTTTGGATGATTCTGAAACACTTTTAAAATTGTTCAAGTATACCAGCTGCCTGTGTGTTGTGTCTTGTGAGGAATGTAATACAGTGGTTAATATCTTGGACTTAAGCCATATTGCCTGGGGTAAGTCCCAGCTATTAGTTTTGGGACTGTTGATAAACGTAGATCCCATTTCATTGTGATCAGTTCATTTGTCCTTAAAATGGAGAGAAAAGCATCTATCCTAGGGTTATTTTGAAAGCTTCTGGAATGTCACAATTAGAAAATGACAACAGGAATCTTAATACAATTGATGAGCTAATGAAGATGTTACTCCATGTAAGCCAAACATATGTTGAGTGCTTAACAATGTTTGACAGGTAGTAAGTACTCTGTTTGCTGCTATTATTAGCATAGCACATACATTTCTTTGGTTTAATCCCCTTCACAGCTCTTCAGTGTGTGAGTAAAATAATTTGTGTGTGATCACACCATCATTTCTAGACCAAGTAGTGTGTAATGTGGGTCTGTTTTGGAGCTCATGTTGTTTTCATGGCACTTATTACAGCTAGTATGCTAAAAAAAGAAACAAACAAATCCCTCAAAGGTTTTCATAACTTTTAAGGAGCACTTTCTTTCTTTCTTTTTAAAGAAATCCTTACTTTTTTTAGTTTGAAAAGAGTTCCAACTTCAGTGTCTTGGGTCTTTTGTGACTTTGAAGGTCGTAAGAATTTCTAATTTCTAGAAACTCTTTGGAATCTGTCAGAAAACAGTTTTCTGATGTCTGTTTAACATCTCAGTATTTAACAAAACAGCATAACATCTTTTGAGGAGTACATTCCTAAATTCTTTAAATTACGACTTGCCAAGAGTACTTACTAATAGATTTCCTCAAAGGACTTTTAAGCCTTCTTAAGGTATTTATTTGCCTTTGGTTTTACTAAGAATCCTTCAAATAAATATTCACCAACATTAACTGAGAAATAAAAGAGATGAAGAAATTATTTGGCTCATACAAATATGATTGATCAACAGTTAAACAGTTAAAGGAACATTATCTGTCAGAGGTGGAGATGTGGATGTCTACATTCATCTCATATGTTTCTGTTGTTATGTAATGGAATTTCTGGCTAGAAATGAGTCTTCAAACTGATGAAAATCTTGAGAAATTTGAATGTAAAGAGAGAAAATTGAATATCAAAAACTAGAGAATAAAAAATGTGTCAGAATATCACCAGTGGTATGGAATTACAGAAATGATGAATGAGGAAAACTGGGCATGCAGAGCAGTATGAAAATACTCCATAAGCTTAAGTGTTTTCATTTCTAGTGTTAGTGGGGAAAAGTTAAGAGAATTGCTTATAACAGAGGAAGTAATGGTTTTTCCAGACGTTTGATCGTTCCGGATTTTCTAATGTCTGGAGGGTCAGACCAATTGAGGCATTTCTATAATTCAGTGACTAGGATAAAAGAATTTTTACATTATTATTGGAGATAAAAGTTGCACACCTGTTGAAGAGAGACTTTGGGGAAAGAAGACACATAACTGTATGTATAGGTTCAAGAATCTAAAAGTCCAGGTATAATTAGGCTATTTTCTTAATCCAGCTCTGTGGTACTTGATAAATAAAATGTTACCTTTTAAAGTGCACAACATGACGATTTCATGTATATTTTTTAAATGATTACCAATTTATAATCTCGCTGTGTAAAAGGTTCTCTTTATTTCACATTCAACATTTACTGTATCATCTTTTTGTTCATAGTCATCTTACCAGTGAAGCTGATACAGAACTGTAGATTTGATTTGTACTCCCTGGTGATTAGTGATGTTGAGCAGCTTCTCATGCACTTTGGCCATCTGTATGTCATCTTTAGAAAAATGTCTATTAAGGTTCTGTGGCTAATTTTTAATCAGATTATTTGGGTGTTTCCTATTAAGTTACATGACTTCCTTTTTTTTTTTTTTTCCATTGCCCCTTTATTGAACATAGGGCTTGCAAATAACTTCTCCCATTCTGTAAGCAGCCCTTCCATTTCGTTTGTTTCTTTTGCCACACAGAAGCTTTCTAGTTTGACCCAGTGTTTACTTTTACTTGTTTACTTTTACTTTTGTTGCCTATGTTTAGTTTTTGTATTGCTGCAGAGGACAGCAGTAGAATGGTTGGAAGTTACACAGGAACACATTTTGTGACTAAAGCAGAGATACTATGGCAAAATGAGTTGTCTAGAATTGGATTGGGTATCTAGTGAGAGAAATTAATCACTGAAGATTTTACTCCTTACTATGGAGGTTCATTTCTTCATTTGATAAATACTGAGTACTTATTACATGACAGGTATCAGGGTTATAACCATGAAGCACCATCCTTGTTCTACTGAACTTTGCAGGAAAGAGAGAAACACAAGAATACAGTGTATTAAAATATGAAGTACATGGGGCCCTACCTGGTGGCGCAGCAGGTTTAAAGCACAGCACTAAGAAGCTAAAGCCACTTCAGCATGAGTTCCATCCCCACCCCAGAGGTGACCCACATGGCGCAGCAGACCTCTCCTGACCCGCCCGATGCTCCCCTCAGCCGTGTACTTTGTCAGTTGGCCTGTTCTACTCCCCACTCTGTCTCTGGTGAATCCTCTCACTGCACCTGCACCTCTGGCCTGTACCCCAGTTCTGTATGCATAAATAGAAAAAATCTTTTAAAAAATAAAATATGAAGTACATGAACATAAGCTGATACATGAACAGTGGAGCACCCTATTTTAGATAGGGTAGACATGCAGACAGTTGGGGAAGAGTCCAGCAGAGAGAACAGCATGTGTAAGAAGGATGTTATATAGAGTGCACTGGACTAGAGATTATCTGATGGCCTCAGAATAAGTCGTTCTGCTGTATAAGCATGGTCTCACTAGAATCATGTAGGGGCTGCTTCTCTGGTCACCCAACTAATCAGTAAAAAAACATCTAGTCTGCTGCTACCCAGGTCATTTTTCATTGGTTTTGGATTAACCTTGCATCTACATAATTCTGTACATGTATAAAAGCTGTATCATAGTGATGTGCCTTATTGGTCTAGAGAATGGAAGACGCCTTGGAAAAGAGAAGAAACTAGAAAAAAAAAATCTCTTGCCATCACCTTTCTATTCTGATCATTGATTTCCTCTTAGGGCAGAAATGGTGTTTCCATCTAAAATAAGCAGGGAACCTCCCTGGTGGCTCAAGAGGTTAAGTCTCAACACTATGAAGCTATCTGCAGCCATTGCAGCACGAGTTCAATACCTGTGCAGGGACTTGACCCACATGGTACAGCAGGCCTCTCCTGTCTTGTCCATTGCTCCCCTCAGCAGTGTATTTCAGTCAACTTGCTTGTTCTGATCCCCACTGTATTCTTGGTGAATCCTCTCACCACTGCACATCTAGCCTCTACCCCAGTTCTTGTATGCATAAGTAAATAAATCTTTTTTTTTTCTTTTTAGTTTAGTAGTTCCTTCTAATATGTGGCAGCTGGTTGTAGAAATTTTGGGGAATAAACATTTGATCTTCTTTTACAGGAAGATGTTGGATCCAGGATTGATATCATGTTCTAAGCAAGCCATGTTTCTTAATCTTGTCTACAAATCTCTGAAAGCTGACATCATGTTGCGCAGAGTGAAGGCTTTTGTGAAGAGATTGCTTCAAGTGACTTGTGAACAAATGCCGCCGTTCATATGTGGAGCTTTATATCTCGTGTCCGAGATCCTTAAAGCAAAACCAGGGCTAAGAAGTCAACTAGATGATCATCCAGTATGTTTACAACTGCTTTTAAATAGAGTGGTTTCTGAAATATATGGTATTTCTTTTACTTTGGTCAGTGACAATAATTGACTTAGTTCTCTGCAGCATGTAAGAAATATGAGTGCTGTAATTGGACAGACCTACATTTTAGGTCCAGTTGTACAGTTTACCTGGTGAGAAATGTTGCTTGATCCTTTTGCTGATAATTTAAGCTACCTTAAACTGCAATTATGTGAGGTTTATAGAAACAGTAGATCTTTCAGCTGGTTTCCTCAGTTGTGAAATGGACATTACAATAGTACTTGCTTCATAGGGTTATTTATACCATATCAGAAATTTACTTGAAGGCTAAATTTTTTCTTGAAATATCAAGTCCCAGAGTCTCAGGGATTCTTGGCTTAACTCTGTTGCATTTATAAATAAGAATATGATCTCTTATTCTACATTTCATTGATAGAACTTTAATGATTCATCATAATTGCAATTATGGAAATCTTAAAGACATCCAGTTGAATAACCCAGATTTATAATATTTTTAGGAATCTGATGAGGAAGAAAATTTTATTGACATAAAAGATGAAGAAGACATAGAAAAATTCACTGATGTAGATAAAGAAACAGATACAGAAAAAAAAGTTGAAGAAGAAACTATGTCAGAAAGTACTACAGAAACCAAGAAATCAGAGTCTGCTTCTTGGGTCCACTTTGATAATTTGCAAGGTGAGTATTTTTAAGTTAGTCTTTTGAACTTTAAACCAAGGAATTGGTTTCCCCTTTGAACTTGATCAAAATTAATAGTAACATTTTTTAAGTTCTCAGTGTTGTTTTAAGATGAGAGCTCTCATAACCAGGTAATTTTAGGACCCTGGGAATAAGTTTTTTTTTTTTTTTTAAAGATTTATTTATTTATTTGTACAGAACTGGGGTACAGGCCAGAGATGCAGAGGGTGAGAGGATTCACCAGAGACAGAGTGGGGAGCAGAACAGGCAAATCGATGAAATACACTGCTGAGGGGAGCAGCGAGCGGGTCAGGAGAGGTCTGCCACGCCATGTGGATCTCTTCCAGGGCAGGCGGGGATTGAACTCATGAGGAAGTGGCTTTAGCTTCTTTGTGTTGTGCTTTAACCCGCTGCGCCACCGGGGAGGGCTGGGAATAAGTTTTTAATAAGTTTTTTAATAAGGTGAATTATTTATTAAAAATAGTACAGATTATAAATATTTTAAAATAAATCTTAGAAATTAAAGCAAATACTTTTCAGAGTCATAATGATTTTTGAAAACACTGACAGATGCACAATAAATCTCATTTCCTTCCACTAGAAATTTATTAAGTTTATACTTTTGAACCAGTTTTAATTTCTTGGATTTATTTGGAAACATATGTTCATATATACGTAAACATGGGAGATAACAAATGTGTCTGTACAAAAGCTTGGTTTTTATAAACACAAGTACTTGATTATAATAAATGCTGTAAAGCGTGACTCTTTAATTTGAGCATCATAATAGTTTCTTAAAGTAATACTTAGGAATGAAATCTTTCTGTGAGATAGAAAATTTAGGGTTCCATGTACACAAAATGAATTATATTTATTAATAGAATATCAAAGCCAAAAGAAATCTTAGAAATGCAGTCTCTTAAGACTGGAAAGAATACTAACCTTAAAAATCAAATTGTCAAACCCTTTGCTTCAGACTTGTTGTAGTCTAAATTATTTCATGTCTGCAAACTTCAGTTTTGTTGAGGCATATAGAAGTATAGAAGTGGGGCCCTCCCTGGTGGCACAGTGAGTTAGGGCGCTGCACTGCAAGCTAGCAACAGCGGCTTCAGTGCTAGTTCAATCCCCAGCCCAGGAGGTGCCCACATGGTGCAGCAGACTTCTCCTGACCTCCCCACTGCTTCCCTCAGCAGTGTACTTCAGTAGATCTGCCTGTTCTGTGCCCCACTCTGTCTCTGGTGAATCCTCTCACCGCCCCTGCACCTCTAGCCTGTACCCCAGTTCTGTATGCATAAATAAATAAATCTTTTTTAAAAAAGGGAAAAGTATAGAAGCTGCCAGGAAAGATTTTAAGAAAATCTATCAGTTGCCCTGAAGGCTAGACTGAAAAGAATCTTTTAGAGGGATGGCAGACGTATACATTGGAAGGGCCTACCTTAATGTGTTCCGAAGGTTGCTTAGTTTTAAATATTTTAATCTTCATTCCTGAAAGCATGAAGAAGATACTATAAAACCTATTACAGGTGAATTCTATCTGTGCATGATTTAATGACATACTGGGAGTACTCTGTAATTTCAAGTCTTCAGACTTCCTTCATCTTGAGGTTGTCATCTTAGCATTTTATGGCCTAATTTACCCAGAAATAGCTTCTTTTTGTTGTTCTTGAAAATAAGTTTTGAAGGGAACTTTCAGTAGTTTAAGGATAAACACCCTGCCTACTTTATTCAGAGTGAAATGCTGGCTTGGGTACCAAGGACAGATTCTTGAAGGAGATGATTTTTTTTTCTTTAAGTTTCGATCAGATGCCTGGCTAAAAATACTAAAACTATGCCTGTGAGTAATAACATTAATTGTGGTTGCTCTATGAACTTCTTGAGCTAGGAATAAAGTATTTGAGAAAAACTTTTTTTGTTGTTGTTAGGTGGTAAACGGTTAAACACATATGATCCATTTAGCAGAAACCCTTTATTTTGTGGAGCTGAAAACACAAGTCTTTGGGAACTCAAAAAGGTAAAATAATTTCAAAGTGTACCACCTTCAAGTTTAATTTTTTTCTTGAAAATCACAGATATAAATTTATTTAGATGCTAGTTAATTGTCATAGGAAGGCAATTTCAAGTATGTCATGTTGCTGTAATGTTTTATAGCCCATATTCTTTTGCCTTGATGAACACTAGATTTCCATCTTTATACTTTTCTATCTTCATGTGTAGAAAATCTTAAATAATGTGCACATAAACTAATGTTGTACCTGGCTATAAATTAGTTCTTTTTTTTTTTTTTTGGTAGTTTATGGCATATAATTACTATGTGAAATGGGTAAATTTTGCCTTATACATTATTTCTGAAGAGTTTTGTGATGGAACCTTTTGCAAATACTTTTTTAAAATACATTATTTTTAATAATCTTTCTGTGAATTCTCTTGTAAAGCTAATAATTGTCTAAGAGTCCCTGTTGTCTTTTCATCAACTCTGCAAGGTCATATCTCCTTCTACTGTGATAGCAACATGTCATTTACCTTTGTTGCTATATTGAGAAAGGCACTGATGCTATAAATGAAATGGCTAAAACTGCCACTGTCTTAGCACAACTAGTCAGTAGCACCAAGCTGTGTTGGGGCAAGTGTATTCTTCACTGCCACACAATTGCAAGTTAAAATAAAAATACCGATTATTACGTAAGAGTGATAAAGCAGGAGCAGTTACTGGTTATATTAACTTGTCTATGAAGTGTATCTTCTTAATACTGTGTAAGAATACAGAAGGCATTTCTGCATACCTGACTGTGAAGGCAGACTCACAACTTGAGAAAAGGTGTTTTGTCGTCATTGAAAACTTAACTACTTTTTATAATGAAAGCCTAAGCAGCAGACAGTTTGGTTACTCAGATGTGGGTAATTTGGGAAACATTTTCTTAAAGAAGAAGTGAACCTGCTGGTTTCCAGCAAAACAGGTGAAGTACTATCAATCTGTGGTAAAGTTCAAGCTTTTAAAACAAAGATTAAAATTTTAGAATCTTGGCAGTTTTTCAGCACATGAAATATGAAACCTTTAAATGAAATCAGTGATGTCATTAATGATGTGGTTTTGTGATAGTGTATAGTAACATATGGCCAACTTTTGGAAGCACAGCATTAACTCAGTGAGTTGGTATTTTCCAAAAGTCCAGTGTACGATGCTGTTAAGTCATACGTGGATACAAGATGAATTTACAGCCGACTAATTTTAATAGGCAGGTACTACAAACTGTTTTGTATAGTTTCAGATTGCATGTTGCAGCTGCTGTTGGTTTTAGTATAGTATAGAAAAAAATCTTTAATTATGTGAAAGTCTTTACCAAAATCCTCCTTTTTCCAGCTTCATTAGTTCAACTACAATAACATGAAACAGAAACAGATAGGAGAATCCTTTGTCTTCTATAGAGCCAAAGCCATAATACGTGATTCTTCTCTGTTTATTCTGAAAAATGATTTTCACAACTTTCTATACTATTTATATTAACATCTAATTGGTTTATTAAAATGAACTCTAAATATGTATTTAAATTTTTTTAATTTCAGGTAATTATCATTAGACATAATGATTTTTAAAGTGTATAAAGTAGCCCCAAGACTAATATTTTGAAAATCATACTTGTAATATATTGGCCTAAGTTTTAATTCTTTGGATTTTCTTGAATAACCGCAATTAGAAGTTTATTGTATTCATCTTTTTCTTTTCAGTTATCTGAACATTTTCACCCTTCTGTATCCCTCTTTGCAAACACTATCCTTCAGGTGAGTCTAAAATATTCTGATGGGAGAAATTAAGAAAAAACAAGTGATCTGATTTTAGACAGTAAAATCATGCCGCTTTTTCCACTCCATAGAACCATGTATTTTTCTGTTCTTGTAAAAAAGCAGTCATTTGTTTAATACAAAGTAGCAGATAATTCTCCCGTTTCTGAGATGAAGAAAATGTAGGGCATTAGGAAACCACCACAGCTGGTTGTCCTTTCTCCTGGAGAAATACTACCTTTCCCTTGCTTATTCGTGGTGTTTCCTGTTTTCCCAGTTTGGTTCCTTGTTAATAAGTAGGTGACCTGCCGTTTAATACTATTTACCTGCTCTCAGAATCAGTGCATCACAGAATGTATGCACACCAATAGTTTTTCCAAATAAACAATAATGTGCATAAAAGGATGTTAGAGTTTATTGCATATTTGTACCTTTGATACAATGTAATAGAAAAATGTTTTCCTCCCTTTTCTCTTACCTGGGTGCATATAATATAATTTGAGTTAAGTTCTTAAATTCCCCATACCTTGCAGGGTAATTACATTCAGTACTCAGGTGACCCACTGCAGGATTTCACACTAATGAGATTCTTGGATCGATTTGTTTACCGAAATCCAAAGCCACATAAAGGCAAAGGTAGGCTTCTGTTTAATTAAATTAATTAATTAGTTGGTATTTGTTATTAATATTTAATAAACTTTGTGAGCATATAATAACTTTTACATTGCACTGTCTTGGTTTTATATTTCAGAAAACACAGATAGTGTCGTTATGCAGCCCAAAAGAAAACATTTTACAAAGGATATTCGAAATCTTCCTGGTAAGTGTGTTGAAAGCATGCACAATTGAAACTGACAAGACAGAAGTTATTAACATAGACTTGTCAAAATAATACTTAAGCACCAAAATACTACCTATCTTGTGTTGTCAAGAATGTACATGCAGGCCTCCCTGGTGATGCAGGGGCTAAGTCTCAGCACTATCAAGCTATCACCAGCCTCTACAGCTTGAGTTTAATCCATGGCCAGGGAGCTGACCTACATGGCAGGGCAGACTTCTCCTATCTTACCTCCAGCTCCCCTCAGCAGTCAGCAGGCAGCAGTCTGTCTGCCTGTTCTGCTCCCCACTCTGTCTTTGGTGAATCCTCTCACTTGCCTCATTCTGGCCTACACCCCAGTTCCTATATGCATAAATAAATAAAATCTTATAAAAAATGCATATCTTTATATGCATATATATCACAGAATGCATATCCTCAAGTCTATCATGTCTGACTTTTTAAACTTTATTAAATGTCATCACACCAAAAATAAATAGTATGATAAACCCAATGTAACCATTGTCCAGTTTCAACACTTGTCAGTATTTTGCTATTTTTGTATCATCATTGCTTTACCAAGATGATAAAGCATACATCTTTTCTAGTTCAGATCATCTTAAACCTTATAATAGGGTTTTCCAGAAAACCCACAGTTGGCTTTGTTACAGAGCATTTTTTATTTTTAAAGATTTATTTATTTATGCATACAGAACTGGGGTACAGGACAGAGGTACAGGGGTGATGAGAGGATTCACGAGAGACAGAGTCGGGAGCAGAACAGGCCGACTGATGAAATACATTGCTGAGGGGAGCAGCGGGCGGGTCAGAAGAAGTCTGTGTGTCATGTGGATCTCCTCCAGGGCAGGGATCGAACTCGTGTTGAAGTGGCTTTAACTTCTTAGTGCTGTGCTTTAACCTGCTGCGCCACCAGGGAGGGTCTATATAAAGCATTATTTTAAATTTAGTTGATTAGTGCCTATCTTTTGTGTCTATTCTGTTTTGCTAGTCCAAGTAGACATTATTTTGTATTCCACATCCCACTCCTTTTAGTTGAGGTTAAGTTATACCTTGTAAATCATTTAAATTCCAAATAACTGACTTTACAGCAGTTCAGGGGTAATATGTACTTGTAACATTAACAGAGAGAATTGAAAGTAAATCCCTCTTTAATCAAGTAGAGTCAGAAATTTTTGTTCTAAAAAGGAAAAACTGACTCTTAGTTACTTATTTGTTTCATAATGTGCCTCAGTATTAAGTAAAACTGTTTGCATTTACTTGTATCCAGAATGGCAGACATTTTTCTAATATGAAAATGTCAAGTTTAAGGTAATTTATATTAAGAGAGCTCTGAAATTTTATCCCTGAAAATCTGAATCCTGAAAGCAGTTGGAAGACTAGACAACCCTGTTCTTTCTCCTTGATGCACTATTTGGCTACCTTTCAAGTGGTCAACAATTTTGAATGCTGAGTTCTCTCTCTACATACCTCAGCTAGGGTCATTTCTGTTGACCTTCCTTACATTTTGAGATTTTATAATTGTAGGTATGCTATGTTTACAATCTTGAATAACATAAAAAGGATTATTAACATAAAATGTTTTAATTTATCTTCCTAGTCAACAGTAAGGAGTTCCTTGCAAAAGAAGAAAGCCAGATACCAGTGGATGAACTGTTTTTCTATAGGTAATACATTGGTAGTTTCAGTTGGGGAATTGTTGAAATGCAAATTTTTACATTCTATAGAATGTTTTGTTAACATAGACCTACCTTAAGATTTGGCAGTAAGTCAGTATCCATTTTTGTGAAGGGAACTCAAATCATTTTGCTAATCTTGAGAGATCTTAGTGAAACTAAATTAAATTTGAGAGTTTTGTTTTTAATAATTTGGCATAAATTTGTTTTGTGAATCTTAATTTTAGGAGCTTAATTTTTATTTTTTTGTAAGTGATTTCCTTAGTGGTTATAAATCTGTATTACTCTAATACAGTGATAAATAATCCAAGTAATTTCTCTAATGCAATGCTGTAGGCAAAACTAACAAAAATTTTATTGTGCTACTATATAAAATCCTAAACCAATTATTGTTACTAATGCTTTACAGTTGCAATGAAAGTATTACCTCATTGGTTGACTGGGCTTGCTTTTGTGATCCCATCTGAAAAATGCTATGTTTCACTGTGCGCAAGTATCTAAAAGAGTGCGTACAGGTCATTTAGAGAATATTGCATTTTGCAATATTCTCATACTTAACATGACTAGTGTTGGTGCTTCCTCTTCTTATAGGCATTTAACTAAGATGAGTTAAGCTATTTTATAAAAGACTAATTTGAAGGAAACCTAAATCTTTGAAATTATGCTTCACATTATAAATTACTATATTTCATAGTTCAAAAGTTTATTTGTTGAATTCAGAGCTTTTCTTGAATACAAATTTTATTCATATATATATCCAACTGAGTTAATAGGTTTTATACATGTGTCACACTAGTCACAGGTTTTTTGTTTATAATAAAGTGGGCCTTTGAAATTATCATGTATAACACTCATTTTAGGTACTATAAAAAAGCTGCAACTGCTAAAGAGAAACAAAAACGTGATGCAGATGAAGAAAGTATAGAAGATGTGGATGATGATGAATTTGAAAGAATGATTGGTAATTTGTTTTCATAGACTTCAATTTGTAAAAGTATGTTTTATTGTTTATCAAATGATGAAAGTGGCCTGTGGGGCATATTCCAAATTTACTACAGAAAATACACAATTATACTTTGGACATCTGGAGGGGGTAGGAGTGGAATGGTGCATTTACATGAGCCTGTTCATTCCAAAGGCCCAAATCCTTTACAAAAGAGAAACATTTTTACTTTTCCTAGTCTTCTTATACTATTAATACTAATAATCTGCATTTATCTTATTTTTTTTCGTTATAATTCACAGAACTAGAAAAATTTCAATCGAATCTTCAATGGAAACAAAACCATGGGAAATTTAGAAGGACTACATCAATTATTTTGTTGAATAGTCTATTACCAATATTAAATAAGCTTAAATAGTTCTAATAAAATAAAAATGATTGCAGTTGCTAAATACCATCTCATTTGATATCTATCCCCTTTTCATACGAGAAAACTAAATTTTAATTGGAATCCACTTAGTTTAGGGATTTAATTAAGATCAGTATATTCACAAGTTTAGATAGTCAAATTTATTGTTTTGGTATTGTCATAAATGGCAGACTCATAACTGCACTGATTCAGATATAATACATGTCAATTTGGTTATTCTTTACTATCTCATAATTTGTATGTTTTTCTCTGACAGACACATTTGAAGATGATAACTGCTTCACCTCTGGAAAGGATGACCTTGATTTTGCTAGGTAAATTTACCCCATCAGTTTCCTTTTTCTTTCCCCTCAGAACAATAGATCACAGAACAAATGTGATATACAAGAGGAAGATACTTGTAAAGGTTTGGGAATTACACACAAAACTTTCACTTTGGATTTTTATAATGCACATTAGTACACTAATTAAAGGCTCTGACTGGTCTGTAATTATTTGCTTTTATATTGTTAATCACTTGATACCCTGGTCATCACCAAGACACCCTTCAGGAAAGGATGTTCTTATTTACAAGTAGTTGTTTTTTTCTAGCCATGTGAAAAAGAAAAAAAGAGGAGCTAAGAAGGACCCAGAGGATGAAGATTCAGAAGACAGTGACGACGACCTGGATAACCTGGATGATGATGAAGTTTCTTTAGGAAGTATGAATGAAGAATTTACTGAAACTAATGAAGATGGAGGCACATTCATGGATTTGTTGGATGATGAAAGTGAAGACATTTTAGGTAAGCATTTTTAGAAAATAAACTCTTCTTTTTCAATGTGTAAGAGTTTTTCTGTTAAAGATTGCTGATAAGACGTTAAATTTAGGCTCTCTCTCCTCATTTGGAACTAACAGATTTATTTTTTTAAAGATTTATTTATGCATATTGAACTGGGGTACAGGCCAGAGGTACAGGAGATGAGAGGATTCACCAACGACAGAGTGGGGAGCAGAACAGGTCGATGTACTGAAATACACTGCTGAGGGCAGCAGTGGGGGGGGGTCAGGAGAGGTCTGCCACACCATGTGGGTCACTTCCTGGCCAGGGATCAAACTCGTGCTGCAGTGGCTGTGGATAGCTTTGTAGTGCTATGCTTTAATTTAACCCGATGCACCACCAGGGAGGGCTTTTTTTTTTTTAAGTGCAGCTGAGTTTTAGGTTTTGGGCTTACATTTAGTCAACAATTAGGATGCCTGTGCAATACCTATTGGGCTGTTATGCCTTCTTTTCTAAGAATAGTATTCAGCACCTCCTAAAAATTAATGTTCCTTGTTGCTCTAGAAGTTGAGCATTTTTAATTTTGTTGCAAACAAAGAATACCAAAATTATGTCCTTAAAATGTTCCTAGCTTTTTTTCTTATTTCACACAATAAACAACTTATCCAGTATACACTCATCAGCCTGCTACTTATTCTGGACCAAAGTAGAAATTTCTTTGTGTTCCAAGGAATTACAGTATTTGCTTTTAGCAATAAAGCTATCTAATAAACTATGTACTTTCACAAGATAGGGAACTATGCTAGTAGTCATTTATTTTTAGTCTTGATTGCCATTCTCAAAGTCTATGCTAGTGAAATTGTGAAACCCACAGGGAACAGTTCTATAATGCCATGCCACTGTATTAAATATTTTCACAGATAAAATAATCTCTTCTAGTCCTTTGTTTTTAAGTTGCCTACTGGTCTGTTTTTTGTTTGGTAACAGAATCTGATGATGAACCCAGCTCCAAAGTCAGTACTAAAAGAAGCAAGAGAAAAGATGCAGATGATTTTGATTTTGCTGGATCATTTCAAGGTAAGAAAACACATTTAATCTTTTAAACCTAAGCAGTGTGCATGTGAAAGGTACTAACATTTTAGGAAATAAACTTTTCTAAATTGGTTAGTACAATTCATCTTTGTTTTTTAAGAAAGATGTTTTCATAATGTATAACAAGTTTTATGTACTCTTAATATATGAAAAATTGTTTTCCACCGAAACTTGCAGTTACTTTCTCTTCTTAAAATTTCTTTCTCCACATTTGAATATCTCCAGATCATCATCTCTTTCATGTTATGTCATTCAATTAAATGTGAGCCCCGATTTTCCATAGACAGTGCCTTTTTCCTTTTCTCAGCCAATGTGATTTTATTTTATTTTAAATATGAATTAAAATTTAGTAAATATTAAAAATAACCATATCCTATTTTGTCTGTTATTCAGAATTACAAGTAAGTTTTTAAGGAAACACACTTTGAAATGTATAAACATAAGTTCATTAGCAGCAAAAGGAAACATACCTTCAATCATTTTATTCACAATTAGTCCAAAGAATAAAACTTCTGGAATTTGCTTTTAAAATATTCCAAATCTGTGTAGGTCAGCTTTGAGATTTTAATCTTGATATTGTGAAATAGGGTAAGCCCTGATCAGTGGGAGATCTGAAAGACATTAAGGTAATATTTTCATCTATACAGTTCTGTCTTCAGGATATTCACTTTTTTAAAAATGCTATTTGCTTTCTAACTCTGCTGTTTCTGTCTTTACATGCCGGCCCCCTAATGGTGCTAGATCATTGCAATTATCTAATTAAACCACATTTATTTCCTAGTTTTCCTTTATGTATCTTTTTCCAGATTTTCTTGTGAAACCATGTTGAAAAATTTATACTCAAAACCTTCTATTGGGTTTATAATTGAATAAGCTAGGTTTATATTTATTTTAGGACCAAAGAAAAAAAAGAAAAGAGATTTCAATGATTCCAACCTGTTTGTATCTGCTGAGGAGGTAAGGTTCATGTTTCTCTTTAAGAAGTTATGCATTATACATTGTTTGAAGGGATTTTTAAATTGTTTTAAAGTTTTCTAATAATTGTATACCTTTTCTTTTTAAAGTTTGGTCACCTGTTAGATGAAAATATGGGTTCTAAATTTGACAACATTGGCATGAATGCCATGGCTAACAGAGATAATGCAAGTAAGTACTTTGAATTTTTATTGAGGTTTTAAAATAGCATTAACTTAGAATTTCTGAAGTTGTTTGTATTTTTTGGAAGACCTTTACTAGTAGAAATGAATAAATGGGTTCCTCACAACCTGGACGGAGAAAGGCTTTTATCATGTCTCCGTAGGATTAAGAAGTATTTAGACTACAGCAAAATACTAAAAACTCAGTCAACAAAAGTTAATGAGTTTTGGGAGGGAGATAGGCTGTTATATAGTATGAGCTCGGTAAGTAAGTTTCTACTTTTTGTAATGATTTTAATTTCTGACATCGATAGTAAATGCTTCCACTCTTCTGTTCAGAGGAATAACATACTTAAAGCATTTGTACCTTGTCTTATTCTTTTATTTGAAAACCAGTAACCTTTGACAATAGATACTAAAGAAAAGCAACACAGGCAGTGACTTTGCACAGTAGTTGGGAAATCCACACTTCAGTTTCTCAGTAAGACAGTCTGTGCGCGCTCAAGCTTATGGGCAGCGTGGTCATCTTTCTCCTCCCCACAGGTTTCAAGCAGCTTAAATGGGAGGCTGAACGGGATGACTGGATACATGACAGAGATGTGAAAAGTATCATCAAGAAAAAGAAAAATTTCAAAAAGAAGCTGAAAATCACTCAGAAAACTAAGAAGCAGAGAAAACGAGCAATTCCTAAATAAGTTAAAATTCTACTTACTCTTAATTTTTACTGTTAAGCCATTTTTCTTGATCTTGCTCTCTGAGTCCATATACTCCCGACTGTTCAATGGATTTGTAATAAACTATAAATAAAAAAAACTGTCATTTATAAAATCATGGAAAATTTTAAGTTAACCTATTGAGGAAAGTGGTATCTTTTTCTCTTGCACTGCTACACTGTTCAATGAGAAAAGAAAACAGATAATAACTCATGTACAAGCTGTGCCATCTCTACTAATCAGTGTAAAGAGCACTGCTTGTTAAGGTTTCTTTTTAACAGTTACATACATATTATCTTTTCTAACCCTTGTTGTTAAACACTCACCTGAAGAGTGTTACTTCTACCTTACAGAAGGAAACAGCTCCAAGAAACTGGCAAACTTGAGCTCAGTTTTAAGCTGTGGTCTGATCTATCACCACATCAGCAATATCTCATTCCAAAGTCTGCATTTTTTACTAATGGAAGAATTAGGAGTCCAGTCCATTTACTAACTGTTCCTATCTAGTCAGCTAATTTAAAATCGTCTCCACTCTGTGATTCCAGAGGGAGCTAAAATAAGAGGAAACAGAATTGTTGGAAATGGACATCACAAGTCATTGCTTGATTAGTCATAAAGAAATTGCTACTTAATTTAAAGGTTAGCTGAACAACTTTTATACTCTTACTTTCATTTAGGAAAAACATACCTTCCAAGATGAAGGGAAATTTTTTGTTCATTGTTTGCCTGAAATCTGATGGGGAAAAAAAAAGTTAAAATTCGACATTATTAGAAATATGTTTACACATGGAACTAGCCCATTTAATGGTAGTTTTGGTGTCTATAAAATAAGAATTCTGGCCCTCCCTGGTGGCGCAGCGGGTGAAGGCACTGTACTAAGAAGCTAAAGCCACTTCAGCATGAGTTCATTCCCCGCCCCGGAGGTGACCCACATGGCGCAGCAGACCTTTCCTGACCTGCCCGCTGTTCCTCTCAGCCGTGTACTTTGTCAGTTGGCCTGTTCTGCTCCCCACTCTTTCTGGTGAAGCCTCTCTCTCACACACACACACATATACACACACCGGCACCTCTGGCCTGTACCTCCCTTCTGTATGCATAAACAAATCCTAAAAAAAATAGAATTCTTAGAAATTTGTTAAAGTCCTGATAATCCAGGAAATACCTTTTGGGATAGAATCTAAATTGCACCTATTTTACACATAGCCTTACATGGTTATTTTACAGTTAAAGATTTAGCCTGTAGAGGGACTGAATCCAGGGCATCTTCTTTCAGGGAACAAAGTAGTTACTGAAAGGTTGGTAAACAGGCATCCCCAAAGCAGAGTAAAACAAATTTTGACTAATTTTCAGTTGCTTCTTAGATTCTCTCATGTAATTTTATAATTTGGTTTTGGTCCTGAAACTTAAAATCTAAGTTGTGTTTATGGATGCCATTTTACTTTGTTACAGAATTACCAATTTCATTTGCTTTTAAATACTATTTGGATATCTCTTTTTATACCCATTAGTTTAAAGAGCAGAGAGTGGATATCCAGCAGTACCCTACGGAAACGCTCAGTGAAGTACACTTACGGAAACGCTCAGTGAAGTACACTGAGGAAGAACTAACAAATTGCAACCGTGGCACTACTCAGGACTACTACTCCGTTTAGGGAAATTGAAACCGGCGCCACCCTCACTAAAGTTGAGGGCTCTACTATAAGGTGGGTATTGCTCCAGAATTCAAGGTTCTTTCAGTGATAGCCAGTAGTAGCATGGGGAAGGCTTTCAGTGCCCTGTATTGACAGAGAGTGAAGGAGTCTACAAGCTTCCAAAAACTAACTTTGCTTGCTTTGACTATGCTATTTCTTGATTTCTCCATCTACCAAACAAGGGTGTATTGAATAGGCTGAATTTCAGTCTACTCCCCCACTAAGCCAGACCAAAGCACTAGCTCTATACTCCTTCCTGGTAAAACCCATGGAAGTGTGAGACATCTTCCCTAATCTATAAGTGAACCTTTGTTAGGGAGAAGTAAGTCATTTGGTCTACAATAATAAACACTTAGCTCTCCCCATAAAAATACCCAACATATTCACTCTAAACCAATTTGTTTAAAAAAGCCATGTAACAGGCCCTCCGTGGTGGCGCAGCGGTTAAAGCACAGCACTGAGAATCTAAAGCCACTTCCGCATGAGTTCAATTCCCGCCTGCCATGAGTTCAATTCCCGCCTGCCCGGAGGTGACCACATGGTGTGGCATTCCTCTCCTGACGCCCGCTGTTCCCCTCAGCAGTGTACTTCGTCGATCTGCCTGTTCTGTTCCCCACTCTGTCTCTGGTGAAGCCTCTCACCGCCCCTGAGCCTCTGGCCTGTACCCCAGTTCTGTATGCACAAATAAATCTTAAAAAAAAAAAAAAAAGCCATGTAACGACTAAGTGTACCAGTAAATTGTACACCCATCTAGAAAACATTAATTTCTGAATTATAATTACCTTGGCTTGTGTTCATCTTATTAAATAAATAATATGCTCCAAAAACACCAATAAGTTCTGCTACTAAAACTCCTTTAAAGATCTTCCTTGCCAAAGGTTCCATAGTGCGGGCCATCCTAAGTTAAATAAATGTAAACCAGGTTACATATTGTAAAGATACTCAAACTTAGTGTCACCCCTATAAAAGTATTACCCTTCACACCACAAGTTATTATAATCTGTGTAATAGAACTCCAGAATTACAATACACTCAGCTGTCCCACATTCCTACTTTACCATTTCTATAGCTAAGGAGCACAATAGCCCAAAGATAAAATTAGAAAAAGCAGAGAAAGATGGCATTGTAAAAAATAATTTATGGAACGAAGATCTTAAAATTGCCTAGGAGTATAGAATGGGCAATAACAGCTTATCACTTTCTGAATTGAACTAGGAATTAAAATGATTTGGTGGAAAAAATGTGAAAACAAAATGCTTGACTCGGTATACAAAGCTGAACCATAAACTAACTGGTTCTTGTTGAGTGGCTGCTAGTTTTTATTCTCTTAATCTAAAATAAAAGTTAAATGAAAGGACTATTAGGAGAAGAGAAGATTGGACTCAGTTGAATATATAAAATGGAAACCCAAACTTTTACTCTGCCTTTCTATAACCCCAAAGTCAATAGAGGAGTTTTATACTCTGCATTTTAATACTGTCTTTGTCTTTTGTCACTGTTCTCTATCTTGTGCCATGAGCATGTCTCTTACTATACAGTCCCAGGCCTCTGCTCAGTGCCATGCATCTCCTCCCCTCCACTTGCTTTTAACTCCTTTTCACAATGCCTTGAGGTAGGAGTAATTAAATACTTACTTTTGTAAGATTATCCTACTGATACCCAGGATATCAGTACCTCCCCCACCCCTGCCGATTTGCTTTTCTCACTTTGATAATGTGATCACCCTGAGGACTAAAAGATTAAAACCTCATCGTTCTTACCTAAAAGAAATGAAGCAAAGGAAATGTAAAAAGAATTTACACATAACCAGCATGCAGGTGCACTGGTGGAAAGGGAGGGTGGTTTTGCTATTTACTGCAATGTTCTGTGGAACTGACAAGAAAAAAGCCATGAGCAGTAGAGAAAGTTCTCCTGGCTCTTTTTAATGTTCAAGGGATAAGGGGGGAAAAAACCTCCAAAACTTAAAAGCTTCCAGCAGACAAAACAAAACAGTAACCTAAGTAAAAAAAATGAAATGAAAAATTGTTTTGTTGAATGAAGATGAGGTTAAGGATTTGAACAATAAAGTCCAAACAACACTGTCTAAGAAATCATTTATGCTTTAAGACACACACACCTTTACATTACATAACAAACCCCTCAGTTCCAGTAGAGGTATTTATAATTGATAAGACAGGATTTCGGTGACAGAATTTAGAAGTGCAGCATAAAGTGCTGGGCTCCAAGACGTGGCGCTGCGTGTGCGTGTCGTGGGGTTTGCTTCACACGGGCTGAGAAGCTGACTGACTCAGGGCGCACAAGTTTAAGACCACTGCCTTGTCTGGCCTGAAACCCTCATCTGTGCCCCGAGCGGGAAATCCACCGGGTTTAGCGACTCCTGTCCACAAGACTAAAAGCTGCAAGGTCTCCCGCGTCCTAGAGGCTGGGACTTAGTTTAATTAGCCTGGGGCTGTACAGTGACGGGACTCACAGACGACAGAGCAGGTTTTCCAGGTTCCCACGGTCAGAGTCGGGCGCCCGTGAGACCCTGAAACGCAGCCTCGGTTGGCTATCTACGCCCCTCCGCCCCCGCGCACCCCAGCTCCCAACCAGCCTCCGCGTCGGAGCCCGAGTCCCCAGGGCGAGCCACTCGGTAGCATTCGGGCTGTCGTGCGCGTCCTGGACAAACTGGACACCTGCGTGTCTTCTGCGGAAGTCCCCCCCCCGAAAAAGGCCGCCCCCCAACACACACTGGACACGCTGGGAGGTGGGGGTGCCAAAGCAGGCCGGCGAACCACGCGCGGCTCCTACCTGCTGTGCGGGCGAGCGGGGCTGCGCATGCGCAAGGGGCGCCCCGCCTATTCTAGCGTTGCAGCGGGCCCTTTCCTGTTCCGCAAAGGGAAATGAGAGTCATCTCAGGTTCAACCAATACACAAGTCGCAAATGCTTCCGTGTACAGGGCTGTGTTTCTCTCCCTCACTACGAAGTCTGGCAGGGCCCTTCAAAGTTGGAACCACCATGGAACAGCTAGAGTTCCACTGGCACACAGAGCTTAAAGGACTGTTTTATTAAAATAAAAAATGTCTCACACTTCCGGCAAGAGACAGAACTGTTAGCTCAGTGAATCCCTTGCAAAGAACTTTGTGGAAGCCTCATTCAGTGATTTCTTCACCTCCCTGATTTCTCAATACTCTTTTAGCGGGGAAATAATGATTTTTTTTTTAGGTTTATTTATGCATACTGACCTAGAGTATAGGCCAAAGGTGCAGGGTTGGTGAGAGGCTTCATCAGAGACATAATGGAGAGCAGAACAGGCTTATTGACAAAGTACACGGCTGAGGGGAGCAGCAGGCAGGTCAGGAGAGGTCTGCTGCACCATGTGGTCATCTCCTGGGCAGGGATTAAACTAGTGCTGCAGTGACTGTGGATAGCTCCTTAATGCAGTGTTTTAACCCATTGTGCCACCAAGGAGGGCCTGGAAGTTAGCTTCTTTCATCTCTAGATTTACACAGGAGCGTGAGCAAATACTACCAGATACATACTTGAATCTGCCCTTGAGCACAGGTGAGACAAGTCTCCAAATGAGACCCATTTTTTGACCTCTCATAGTGGTTCTTCTCTTTCCTTCTGTGAAGCAAAGCACTGGACTGGCTATCTCAAAGCCACTACTAGGAAAATCTAATTTTTTTTTTAAGATTTGTTTATTCATACAGAAGTGGGGTAGAAGCCAGAGGCGCAGGGGCTGTGAGAGGCTTCACCAGAGACACAGTAGAGAGCAGAACAGGCAGATCACTGAAATACACTGCTGAGAGAAGCACCAGGCAGTACAGGAGAGGACTGCCGTGCCATGTGGTCACCTCCAGGGCTGGGGATCAAACCCGCACTGAAGCAGCTATGGCCAACTTGCAGTGCTGCTTGCAGTGCTGCATCCTAATCTGTTGCGCCACCAGGGAGGGCCCGGAAATTCTAATTCTATCTCTGCACTGAAGTAAGATGAATGCATTTCATCATGATTTGACTCAAGAAAAATTCATTGCTCATTTGCTGTGTCTATCATTGCACTAGGCCCCAGGGAGACTCCACACTCAAGAATTTTACATTTATATGTAATACAATGTTTAATTCAAAAGTGAAGCTTAGAGGTGTGTTACTCTGGTAATAAAAGCTTTTTGACCACAAACATCAAATATGCATCAAAAGTTTACAAGAAGAGATTGAAAATGCTCCAAAAAATAAATCTCCCATCGAACTGACAGCTTTCAACTTCTTAATTATCCTGAATACTTACACTATAAGTAATTCTACTTTACAGTTAAGAATAAATCACTTGGGTTCAGTCACTGCAACTGACTGCTATTGTTTAATTAGGACTTTCATTTTCTGGGTGTTTTATGATAAATACATTTTGCATTTCAACAAAAAGAATAAATCACTTGTAGAAATGTTAAGATAAATTGCGTTGAGAACGATTTAGACTATTATTTCTGGTGGTGTGAATTAAGCAAGCTGACAACTCCTCTCAAGACACCAACAGAGGTTTGATATCATTTTTCAAATATGCTTTTCGTTGTAGTGCTCACCTCCCACCTGAGACCAAAACCAAACAGCAAGCAGAGACCTACACCAAGTCACAAAAAGAGGTAACAATGAAGTGGCATTGAAAGATTTGTGAATAAGAGACTTGAGTTTTAATGCCAAGCCCACCTGATTGGTGCAGAAGTAGACAAATAGACCAGATAACATAGAGCAGAGAGAACAAGATACGGCTCTCAAACTAACCTATAAATGTAAAGAAGGTTCAGGTGTGACTGCATATCAGGAAGAATTAAATTCAACCTTTGTATCAAAGGCAATTAGATATGATATAGAGGAAAGAAAATAAGATCCTTACTTTGCATCACTCAGAAAAATAAATTCCTTGTAAATTAAATATCCATGTTAAAAATTTTAAAGTTTTAAAATTTAAAGTGTTAAAGTTTAAAACCTTTTGGAAAAATAATTAAGTGAAAAGGCTTAAAAGAAACTCAGAGAAGACACTTACTAATAAAAAGTTATAAGTCAATCTAATAGAAAAAATAATGGTAAGGGTATTTACAATTTACTGAAGAGTAAACCCAAATCCCTGATGAACATAGGTGCAAAAATAAATGCTCAACAAAATATTAACCACATTCAATAATATATTAAAAGGATCATATACCGTGATCAGTGAGATGCATTCAAGAGGTGCAAAGATGGTTCTACAAATGCATAGTAAAAAATATACACTATCTTAACAAAATGAAGGTAAAAATAATGAAATATCTCATTAGATACAGAAAAGGGATTTGACAAAATTTGACATTCTTTTCATCATTAAAAACAAAACAGCAGGTATAGAAAGAATATTCCTCAACATAATAAAGTTCATATGCAACAAGGCCACAGGTAACATCATGCTCAACAAAAACTCCCAGATTTCTTCTCATGTCAAGTACTTATAATTAAGACAGTACTGAAGCTTTCGCCAAAATAAGAAAAAGAAGTAAAAGGAATCCAAATCAGAAAGCAATAAATAAAATCATCTCTGTTGGCAGGTAACTTATTATATGTAGAAAAACCCAGAGACTCCACCAAAAGAAAACTATTATGATAAATCAACAAATTCAATAAAATTGGAGGGTACAAAATTAATACACACAAATTCAGTGGTTAACAGCATTACTATTGGGCAGGTGAATTAAGAAAATAATCCCTTTCACAATAGCATTAAAAAAAAATTAACCAAGATGGTGAAAGATCTATACACTGAAACCTATTGGGCATTGATCAAAAGAAAATTGAAGAAAACCCAAATAAATGAAAAGATAACCTGTGTTTGTAGATTGGGAGATTTAGTATTGTTAAGAGGCCTATTCTACCCAATGTGATCTACTGACTCAATGCAATCATATCAAACTTCCAAAGGCATTTTCCACAGAACAGAACAAATCCTTAAATTAATCTTAAACCACAAAATATACTGAATAGCCAAAGCAATCTTGAGAAAGACAAAGCTGGAAGCATCCCACTTACTGATTTTAAACCTTATACTCAGCAACTTCATTATAGGAAAAAAGTTTTTATTTGCCACTAAATAGGTAATTAAAAATACCTGGGACAGTCCTCACTGGTGGCACAATGGGTTAAAGTGTGGCACTATGAAGTGGTCAGCAGTCACTGAAGCACAAGTTCGATCCCCAGCCAGGCTGATGACCCACATGGTGCAGCAGACCTCTCCTGACCCTCCCACTGCTCCCCTTATTAGTGTACTTAGTTGATCTGCCTGTTCTGCTCCCCACTTTGTCTCTGGTGAATCCTCTCAGCCCCACACCTTTGGCCTGTACCCCAGTATGCATAAATAAACAAAATTTTTTTAACCTGGAAAATGTTTTTTAAACACCCCATACATTATATCTCAGGAAATGAGGAGGCATTTCAAAGGGAGAAGAATGGAAACTAATAAAATTAACATTATCTAGTGCAGTCCATTTTTCCTACCAACAATTTTTCAAGTAAACAACAAAATTACATTACCACCTAATATAGGCATTCCTTTCTTCAAATGAAACAGACTTATCCTGCCCCCCAAACCTTTATACTCTTTGCTATGTGATGTTGCTTCATCTTCTAAGTTACAATTCCTCTTTAATAATCCACTAACCTAAAGACTATTTTAAAAAATTAACTATCACTGGCAAATCTCATATAAAAGTAAATCGCCATCCAATTAAAAGAAGTTCATGAATACACACAAAACAAAGTAAGGAAGAAAACACACATTGCATTTTCTGGTGCTTTATTATACAACTGGTCATGGGACCATATGTGGCTTTGTAACTTCCTTATTCATCCTTCCCTTTGCCTCAGAACTCGCAGCAGCTAGCAGAGAGATAAAAAACCTTTAGTCTTGAAGATGTGCCCTAGCCAGCCCGGCAGTGTTGGACAGCTATAGGTTCACACCACTGAGCAGAGTTACTAGTAGGAACCCCAGAACTGGCTGGATTGAAGGCATACTTGTCCCTGCCTCCCTGGTGTGGCTGCAACATTGTCTTGGAACTATCAATCAGTACAGCAAGTCTGGTTTCCTCTTTATTTTCCTGAAGGCTTGATGCCATGATGAACCTGCCATATCCAATTTCAGCTGAAGGAATTAGACATCTCCTAGCAGAAACATAGCCCAATGTCTTAGAAGCAGGAAGCACTTGTTTTGAAAGCATGTGAGGCTTAACTAGTAGAGACAACACTTTTGCTTCTACTGCAACTGGGCTTGTGTATTCTAACTATCGAAACCAGTTTAGAACACATACTGCACCTGGACAGCGCTTGTAGGGGTTGTCTCCTGACAACACTGTCCTCTAAGGCTAGCTGCTTTGGGTAATGAGGTTCATGATCAAAAACTCTGTACTCTATCACTTCTTCTGTAGAATGGGTTTCTTTCTTTTTTTTTTTTTAAGATTTATTTATTTATACATATAGAACCGGGTACAGGCCAGAGGGGCAGGGGCTGTGAGAGGCTTCACCAGAGACAGTGTGGGGAGCAGAACAGGCAGTTGACAAAGCACAATGCTGAGGGGAGCAGCGGGTGGGTCAGGAGAGGTCTGCTGCACCATGTGGGTCACCTCCAGAGCTGGGAATTGAACTGAAGCGGCTGAGGCTTGCTTGCAGTGCTGAGTCCTAACCCATTGCACCACCAGGGAGGTCCTAGAATGGGTTTCTTAGTGAGAAGGATCATGATGATGAACAAGGTATTTAGAAAGTACAATAATGGTGTCATCATATGTACTAGGGGAAGGAAAAGCAAATCCATATTTGGAGTCGGTATTTACACCACAGAGGGCAAGCCTTCCTACTCAGGATGAAAGGTTTCCCATGTAACCACCTGCCACGAAAGGTTAGCTGGTCTCCCTGTACACTGCAGTTCTCAGTGTGTCCCTGCTGGTGGCATGTTGGGTATTCAGCAGTCAGAGTGGTCTTGAGAAGATGTCTGTGTCCATGAATTCACTTATAGCATCTATCCCTGCTGCCACAGCCTGTTCACTCATTGAACAAACCCTGAAGTAGCTGTGAGAAAGGCTCAAACTGACAGCTACAGAAATTTTTGTATCAGCCCACTCCTGAGCTGAACAAACTGCTGAAGTGATTCCAGATGAAGAAACCAGCACACTTGAGTGCAAAACCTAAATTACTTTCCTTATCTTGTGTCACCTTTAGAATCATTTCCATGTGCTTTTCCTGATTGTTCATAAGAATGAGTGAAATCATGTATGTCTTTTAATTGTATAAGGCACTGCCTCTGCATCATATTTTTTCTGCATCCTCTTTAGGTAACCCAGAAACTGACTCTAGATCCAGGAGTAAAGGCATGAGGTCAAGATGGGGCATTTGGAAAATCAGTACCTCTTTTCAAGGTAACTATTTTGTGATCTTCATGTCTGTGCCAATCTCATCTAGCAAGGACAGAACTGTGGAGATTCAGCAAAACTTGGGAGGACAGGGTACCTGGGTTCATTCAAATCCACCCCAACTCTTAAGGCCTCATTCTTTCCCTGTCAATGTCCTCTGTGTTCATAGATCTAACAAGACTGCAAATTACATTTATATTGGGAAATTCTACTGACAGCATCAGACACTGCCCCTGATCTCTGCGACATCAGCTCTGAGAAATTTGTTCTTTGGGGGCAATTATAAAAGGTTGTGTCCACTGGCCGTACCTGAGCTTTAGTTTTCTTCTTTAAACTCTATTTTGAAGTCCAGGAACTTCAAAAATCAGGAACTGTGTCACTGTTTCTGCTATTTGTTGACCTCAAATTTAAAAAATAACCTGTTAGTCCAATAAAATGATCTATTTGGAAACAACAAAAAAGGCAGTTTGGTGAGCACAGTTTCATGGCCAGACTCACATGTGCTTCCCCTGGGGCCAAGCATGCCCTCGGGAGCGGCTGCAGAGTAAAGAGATCTCCTTCCTCCCACTGAGACAGAGAAGCAGTATCACTTCCCCCCAGAGGTGTGAGGCATGTTGTACCCTGCAGTTTGCTGATTGTGCATCCATGGGAAACCTCTTCTCTCCTCCCAGCCTCATTTAAGTAGTTTCTCTATTTGATTTTCACTCATTTGTTGCTCTGGTTAGTGGATTCCTACAAATGCTTCTCACTGTAGGAACGCCCAGTATTTAATGCATACTCACTGCTTTTTGCCACCCAGAAATGCCACAGAACAATGATTCCTGCCTCTAGTTTACTTTCCATTCTTCCCATCAGTGATTCACATTTGAGAAACTTAAATCACATCTAGGACCTGAGCTACAAAGAAAATATGGTTGTGGGCACTCTTTGGTGGCACAAGGGGCTGAAGCACAGCCTTATGAAGTTTTCCACAGTCACTGCAGCACAAGTTTGATCCCCGACCAGGGAGGTGACCCACATGGCAGAGCAGACCTCTCCTGTCCCCTTCGCTGCTGCTCCCATCCTCAGCAGTGTATTTTAATCAGTCTGCCTGTTCTATTCCCCACTCTGTCTCACCCCCCACGCCTCTGGCCTGTACCCCAGCTCTGTATGCATAAACAAAAATCTTTTTTTTTTTTAAAGATTTATTTATTTGTACATACAGAACTGGGGTACAGGCCAGAGGCTCAGGGGCGGTGAGAGGCTTCACCAGAGACAGAGTGGGGAGCAGAACAGGCAGATCAACGAAGTACACTGCTGAGGGGAGCAGCGGGTGGGTCAGGAGAGGTCTACCTCGTGGCGACGTGGTCTCCTCTGGGGCAGGCGGGAATCGAACTCATGCGGAAGCGGCTTTAGATTTTCAGTGCTGTGCTTTAACCCGCTGCGCCACCAGGGAGGGCCACAAAAATCTTTTTTAAGAAAAGAAAGAAAATACAGTTTTTAACCAGTGATAACCTGTTACAGGAGGAAGGAGGTGTTATAGAAGAGAGGTAGGAACGCCCAGTATTTAATGCATACTTGAGGTCCATCTTGGAACCACCCCCTTCCCTCATCCTAGCTTCTACTTCTAGCTACCCCCTCAGTTGTGTTACTTTTCTCTGCCTCCTCAGCTTTCTCATCTGTTAAATGGGCACAGTAATGACACCTACCTTGTTGTGAGGTAAGTCCTCAGCACCTCCTCGACCACTGTGTCATTGAGCCTGTAGTTACACGGAAATATAGGATTTCTTATAAATTGAGGACTACTGGTGTTGGACTTGGTAATAAATTCCACGAGGTTCCGCAGGGAGCAGGTGGCTCTCCTCACTGCTGGACTGGCGGAGTGGTGCCCTGGTGCTGGCTGCCTGCTTGAATGAATGGATTGGAAGATTATGGCTCCAGGCCCCTTCATAAAAGCAAAGAGGAAGCAGGGCGGAAAGGGAAAGGAGGGTTTGGTCCTTACTGGTCAGACCAGGAATTGCATCTTGGATTGGCTACTTAGTAGGGGCAGAAGTTCATTTATGCCATTACTTGTAAAAGGGAGCCAATAACGGCCACCGTACCAGCCTCACCCCCAAACGTATGCACCCAAGAGGAGCAATCGTGGTCTGGGAGCGCCTGGCACTCGGCAGACAAATGCAAGCTTCAGCGCTTCCCCTTCCTTTTTGGGGACCTTTTCCCGCTTGGGGGCAAGTAACAGTCCCAGTACCGGGGTGGGTCTGTAAGGTCACCCGCGCGGGGGGCAGAGCCCGCCCAGGGGTGACTCCCGCGCGTTCTTGATTTCGCGCGATCTAGGAAACCGCGCGGACTGGTGCGGGAGTGAGGCGGCGGGACGCAGCTAAAGGCGGAGTCGGCTGGGAAAACGAAACTGAGACCAAGTCAGACCCGGGCAACACCAGAGCCGGGCAGCGGCAGCTGGTGAGCTGCACCGTCGGGCGCGGGTGGACGCGGGTGAGCGCGGGGCGGCGGGACTCCAGGGGCGCGGGTGAGCGGGGCGGCAGAGCTGGGGGGAGGGGGTGGTGCCGTGGTGAAGTCAGGGGCGCGCGGGTGAG